ATTTCTTTCTGTCCTCACCTGCACGGTTGCCGCAATCTGTTGCAAAGTCCGAAGCTCTGCATTTAGAACTCAAAGGTCTTGCAAACAGATGGCAGCAACCGCGCCTCCAATTTACGACTCTGGTTCAACAGCCAAAGCTGCATTTCTTTCTGTCCTCACCTGCACGGTTGCCCTGTTGCAAAGTCCGAAGCTCTGCATTTAGAACTCAAAGGTCTTGCAAACAGATGGCAGCAACCGCGCCTCCAATTTACAACTCTGGCTCAACGGCCAAAGCTGCCTCTCTTTCTTTCCTCACCTGCACGGTTGCCGCAATCTGTTGCAAAGTCCGAAGCTCTGCATTTAGAACTCAAAGGTCTTGCAAACAGATGGCAGCAACCGCGCCTCCAATTTACGACTCTGGTTCACGGCCAAAGCTGCATTTCTTTCTGTCCTCACCTGCACGGTTGCCGCAATCTGTTGCAAAGTCCTAAGCTCTGCATTTAGAACTCAAAGGTCTTGCAAACAGATGGCAGCAACCGCGCCTCCAATTTACGACTCTGGTTCAACGGCCAAAGCTGCATTTCTTTCTGTCCTCACCTGCACGGTTGCCGCAATCTGTTGCAAAGTCCGAAGCTCTGCATTTAGAACTCAAAGGTCTTGCAAACAGATGGCAGCAACCACGCCTCCAATTTACGACTCTGGTTCAACAGCCAAAGCTGCATTTCTTTCTGTCCTCACCTGCACGGTTGCCCTGTTGCAAAGTCCGAAGCTCTGCATTTAGAACTCAAAGGTCTTGCAAACAGATGGCAGCAACCGCGCCTCCAATTAGGACTTGCACGGTCAAAGCTGCATTTCTGTCCTCACCTGCACGGTTGCCGCAATCTGTTGCAAAGTCCGAAGCTCTGCATTTAGAACTCAAAGGTCTTGCAAACAGATGGCAGCAACCGCGCCTCCAATTTACGACTCTGGTTCAACGGCCAAAGCTGCATTTCTTTCTGTCCATCCACAGCAACCGAATTTACGACTCTGGTTCAACGGTGCATTTCTTTCTGTCCTCACCTGCACGGTTGCCGCAATCTGTTGCAAAATCCTAAGCTCTGCATTTAGAACTCAAAGGTCTTGCGAAACAGATGGCAGCAACCGCGCCTCCAATTTACAACTCTGGCTCAACGGCCAAAGCTGCCTCTCTTTCTTTCCTCACTGCACGGTTGCCGCAATCTGTTGCAAAATCCTAGGCTCTGCATTTAGAACTCAAAGGGCTTGCAAACAGATGGCAGCAACCGCGCCTCCAATTTAGGACTCCGCTTCAACGGTCAAAGCTGCATTTCTTCTGTTCCTCACCTGCACGGTTGCCGCAATCTGTTGCAAAGTCCGAAGCTCTGCATTTAGAACTCAAAGGTCTTGCAAACAGATGGCAGCAACCGCGCCCCAATTTACGACTCTGGTTCAACGGCCAAAGCTGCATTTCTTTCTGTCCTCACCTGCACGGTTGCCGCAATCTGTTGCAAAGTCCGAAGCTCTGCATTTAGAGCTCAAAGGTCTTGCAAACAGATGGCAGCAACCACGCCTCCAATTTACGACTCTGGTTCAACAGCCAAAGTTGCCTCTCTTGCTTTCCTCACCGCACGGTTGCCGCAATCTGTTGCAAAGTCCTAAGCTCTGCATTTAGAACTCAAAGGTCTTGCAAACAGATGGCAGCAACCGCGCCTCCAATTTACGACTCTGGTTCAACGGCCAAAGCTGCATTTCTTTCTGTCCTCACCTGCACGGTTGCCGCAATCTGTTGCAAAATCCGAAGCTCCGCATTTAGAACTCAAAGGTCTTGCAAACAGATGGCAGCAACCACGCCTCCAATTTAGGACTCCGCTTCAACGGTCAAAGCTGCATTTCTTTCTGTCCTCACCTGCACGGTTGCCGCAATCTGTTGCAAAATCCGAAGCTCTGCATTTAGAACTCAAAGGTCTTGCAAACAGATGGCAGCAACCGCGCCTCTAACTCAGGACTCCGCTTCAACGGTCAAAGCTGCCTTTCTTTCTTTTCTCACCTGCACGGTTGCCGCAATCTGTTGCAAAATCCGAAGCTCTGCATTTAGAACTCAAAGGTCTTGCAAACAGATGGCAGCAACCGCGCCTCCAATTTACGACTCTGGTTCAATGGCCAAAGCTGCATTTCTTTCTGTCCGCACCTGCACGGTTGCCGCAATCTGTTGCAAAATCCTAAGCTCTGCATTTAGAACTCAAAGGTCTTGCAAACAGATGGCAGCAACTGCGCCTCCAATTTAGGACTCCGCTTCAACGGTCAAAGCTGCCTTTCTTTCTTTTCTCACCTGCACGGTTGCCGCAATCTGTTGCAAAATCCGAAGCTCTGCATTTAGAACTCAAAGGTCTTGCAAACAGATGGCAGCAACCGCGCCTCTAACTCAGGACTCCGCTTCAGCGGCCAAAGCTGCCTTGCTTTCTGTCCTCACCTGCACGGTTGCCGCAATCTGTTGCAAAGTCCTAAGCTCTGCATTTAGAACCCAAAGGTCTTGCAAACAAATGGCAGCAACCGCGCCTCCAATTTACGACTCTGGTTCAATGGCCAAAGCTGCATTTCTTTCTGTCCTCACCTGCACGGTTGCCGCAATCTGTTGCAAAATCCTAAGCTCTGCATTTAGAACTCAAAGGTCTTGCAAACAGATGGCAGCAACCGCGCCTCCAATTTAGGACTCCGCTTCAACGGTCAAAGCTGCCTTTCTTTCTTTTCTCACCTGCACGGTTGCCGCAAACTGTCGCAAAATCCAACCTCTGCATTTCGAACTCAAAGGTCTTGCAAACAGATGGCAGCAACCGCGCCTCCAATTTAGGACTCCGCTTCAACGGTCAAAGCTGCCTTTCTTTCTTTTCTCACCTGCACGGTTGCCGCAATCTGTCGAAAAATCCAACCTCTGCATTTCGAACTCCGATCTTGCAAACAGATGGCAGCAACCGCGCCTCTAACTCAGGACTCCGCTTCAACGGTCAAAGCTGCCTTTCTTTCTTTTCTCACCTGCACGGTTGCCGCAATCTGTCGCAAAATCCAACCTCTGCATTTCGAACTCAAAGGTCTTGCAAACAGATGGCAGCAACCGCGCTTCCAATTTAGGACTCCGCTTCAACGGTCAAAGCTGCCTTTTTCTTTCTTTTCTCACCTGCACGGTTGCCGCAATCTGTCGCAAAATCCGAAGCTCTGCATTTAGAACTCAAAGGTCTTGCAAACAGATGGCAGCAACCACACCTCCATTTTAGGAAATCGGTTCAGCGGCCAAAGCTGCCTTGCTTTCTGTCCTCACCTGCACGGTTGCCGCAATCTGTTGCAAAATCCTAAGCTCTGCATTTAGAACTCAAAGGTCTTGCAAACAGATGGCAGCAACCGCGCCTCTAACTCAGGACTCCGCTTCAACGGTCAAAGCTGCCTTTCTTTCTTTTCTCACCTGCACGGTTGCCGCAATCTGTCGCAAAATCCAACCTCTGCATTTCGAACTCAAAGGTCTTGCAAACAGATGGCAGCAACCGCGCCTCCAATTTAGGACTCCGCTTCAACGGTCAAAGCTGCCTTTCTTTCTTTTCTCACCTGCACGGTTGCCGCAATCTGCTGCAAAATCCAACCTCTGCATTTCGAACTCAAAGGTCTTGCAAACAGATGGCAGCAACCGCGCCTCCAATTTAGGACTCCGCTTCAACGGTCAAAGCTGCCTTTCTTTCTTTTCTCACCTGCACGGTTGCCGCAATCTGTTGCAAAATCCGAAGCTCTGCATTTAGAACTCAAAGGTCTTGCAAACAGATGGCAGCAACCGCGCCTCCATTTAGGAAATCGCTTCAACGGCAAAGCTGCCTTTTTCTTTCTTTCCTCACCTGCACGGTTGCCGCAATCTGTTGCAAAATCCGAAGCTCTGCATTTAGAACTCAAAGGTCTTGCAAACAGATGGCAGCAACCACACCTCCATTTTAGGAAATCGGTTCAGCGGCCAAAGCTGCCTTGCTTTCTGTCCTCACCTGCACGGTTGCCGCAATCTGTTGCAAAATCCGAAGCTCTGCATTTTAGAACTCAAAGGTCTTGCAAACAGATGGCAGCAACCACACCTCCATTTTAGGAAATCGGTTCAGCGGCCAAAGCTGCCTTGCTTTCTGTCCTCACCTGCACGGTTGCCGCAATCTGTTGCAAAATCCGAAGCTCTGCATTTAGAACTCAAAGGTCTTGCAAACAGATGGCAGCAACCACACCTCCATTTTAGGAAATCGGTTCAGCGGCCAAAGCTGCCTTGCTTTCTGTCCTCACCTGCACGGTTGCCGCAATCTGTTGCAAAATCCGAAGCTCTGCATTTCGAACTCAAAGGTCTTGCAAAGAGATTGTAGCAATGGCGCCTTAATGCCCGGGGGGGCCTTTTTTATGGTTCAAGCTATGGTTTGTTGCATGTTGTTGTTGGTCTATCCTTAATTGTGTCAACTGCTCTTGCTGGGGGACCTGTAAAATGCAGTGGCTCGTTGTCTTGCTGGAATGTTCTGTTGGCAGATATTATCTGTATGCTAAAAATGAAAAATAACACATTCAAACTTCACACGCCTCAAGCCAGCGATTTTGTTTTGCAATGATCAAAACCATTGTATCCTTCTTTCACATCCCAAAAGTGAACGGAACAAACCATTGGGATGTTAATCTATATAACTGTTGGAGGGCGAATACTGAACCTGACCAAATCTTGTTGTCCCCTGACCTAGACTGGTGTTGTTCATCGATCTGAGCAGGAAATTACGCGCAGTAACATGAAGATTTGCAAATGGTTGTGTCCCAAAAATGGAGGTAACCCAACCATGGCTTTCCTGGTTTGTTGTCTTTTTGATGTCCACCATGTTTGGTCATTGCGACACTCACCGGTGACCCATATTACAGAACTACAGTATGTAGAACCACCACATCATTAACCAGCAGGCGTCAACGCAACTGGCTACTGCTTACCTTGAGATCTGCACGTGTCTTGCATTTGTGAGTGTATCAGGCAACCATCAAGGAAGTGGAATCCAACGGCGTGTTTTTTTCTGAAACTGACTGTTCTGCAGCGATCTGATGTCAGTGTACGCTGGAACCACGTGGTAGTCACTGGGGCCTCAGAGACAAAGTCATAGGAACCATCAGAAACCTCACCTTTCCGCCAGGGAAAAAGCACCAAGTCACCACCAAGCGCCCAGCCGAATCGTTTGGCCTGGCTGCGGTTCGCCGTGGATCTGTTTGTTGAGGTGAAAGTGCGGAAATTTCAGTCAGCTTAAGAAACCACTCAAGGTCACCACGTCCGTTCTCGCTGAAACTATGGTATCCAATTGCATCCCAGGGTGTTCGTATTGAAATGACCATATATATATATACATATATATATATATACATGTATATATATATATATAATATATATATAATATATATATATATACATCCTATCAAATCCCCATTCAATCACAATCCTCAAAAGAATGTCAGTCTATCCCATGTCAGTAAATCCCCCAAAAAAAATGTTGGTTTAAGTTTAAGCCCGTAAATCCTCAAAATAGGTTGGCTTAAGCCCATTGAATCCCCAACGGAGGCCCATCCCGCCTCGCAGGCACGTCTCATTGGATGGATCAAGGATGCCGATGCTTCGGCCTGGCCTTGCCTCAGTCTCTAGAAACACCAGACACAAGGAGATGTCTTTATTGGGTTTTATATGGTTTTATATGATTTCTGTATGCAATTTAGATCAATTTAGCACATGATGCACATTGAGTCTGGGGAAATGACTCATCAAATACTGCTATGCAGCTATCTAATTGGCAGTTGGTGAAGTTGGGGCACCCAAAACAAAGATGCAAGTTCTCAACGCAACAGGAGAGATATCGGGGGTTCTGCAAAGCCAGGTCACAGCCAACCAATGTGCGGCGCGCATGGCTGCGGGGGTGAAAGCAGCGCGTGCTGCGGCGAAAGCATTCCGTGCTGTGGCAGTGGAAGCACCTGCCAAACGCAGCGAGGATTGCTTTGTCAAAAGTAATACCCATGATTTGGGGTTAAAAAATTGGAAAAAACGATTGGAAGATTCCAGGTCAATCTTCCATCTTACTTCATAATCTTCATATTTGTTCGAGCAAGATGAAACGCGAGCAGGCCTGTTCACCTTGAGGACATCACCCTATGCTGGTTGCTTGATGAGGATACGTGGGGATACAAACCCCGAATTGGGATATGAGCAACAACACGGTCTCAACTGTTTTCACCTAGATCTTGGCATTCTACAGCGGTCATAGCCTATATGTGCAAATGGGTAGGGCTTACATGTTAAGCATCAGTGATTCCTAATCTTGACCATAAATGAAAGTGCCACCCCTGAAATACCTATCATCACAGCCGCAATGATATTGGTCATCATTATAATATCATTATTATTATCATCACCATCATCGTCATCGTCATCGTCATCATCATCATCATCATCATCATCACCATCACAAAAAGAACTGAAAATAGAACATATTAATAAATACTCTGTTCGAGTGACCCCCACCAACTGACATTCTCTCTGACATATTTTCTGACACAACAGTCTATCTAACATATATTCTGACAAGTATTCTGGCAGTTTGTCTGACATATTTTCTAACAAATATCCTGACAATTATTCTGACTTTCTATCTGACATTCTATCTGGTATTATTCTGGCATGCCCTCTGGCATATATTCAGGCAAAATGTCTGACATATAAATATTCTCACATATATCCTGACATTCCATCTGGCATCTTTTCTGGCATTCCTTCTGACGTATATTCTGACAAAAAATCTGACCTATATTCTGACATTTTATCTAGCACATATTCAGACACATATTCTGACATTTTATCTGGCATTCTATTCTATCTGACATAGATTCTGACGTACATTCTGACAATCTATCCGACATATATTCTGGTATATACATTCTGACATTCTATCTATGTCACGTTCTGATATTCATGTTCACATTTTTTCCAGCATTCTGTCTAGCATTTTATCTGGCATAGTGGTCTGGCGAGGCCCAGAGAGCTGAAGAGCTGCGTGGGGTAGGTGCGAGAGCGACGAGCGAGCGAGTGTGAGAATGTCGCGGGATGTCTTATTAAAATCTAGAGATCACCTAGCAGGCAGGGAATAAGAGGTAAGTATCTATGTATCTAGATATATATATATATGTATGTATATGTGTATATATATATATATAACATTATATAACTATAACAATAACAACAATAATGACAATAATAATCAGCATCATCAAATGGCACCTGCTGTGAGTTGCTTGGAGAGCTGGGAAAGGCTTTTTGGCTGCTGCCTGGGCGATGACTCTCACCAGTAACGCTTCGTGATTTCTCAGCGAGCCAAGTGTCGCGCACTCATTTCGCGGCAGACTCTGGTGGATCCAAGCCTCGGCATCTCGGCAAAAAAAAACCAGGTATGGTCAAAGATTGTTCAACAAAACTTGAAAAATAAATATACATATATATATATATATATCATTATATCTACGTATGTTTATTATATATAGATAGAAATATAATAATGAAATATGCATATGATCTATGATAAGATATGGTAGTTCTTGGTATTGATCAGCCCATGTTTCAGTCCCAAGTTTTACCCGTTCCTGTCCTGGAAATTTGGACCTGAGCTCCATCACATATTTCACGACAGGACCATGTTACCCTTCCGTAGCTGGTAAGCTGGTAAGGCAATTCAGGATGTTCAACTCCCCCACTTCATATCAATTCAATTCAATTATATAATATGATATGGCTATGAGTCATAACCCTGGTACCTAGTGAACCACAAAACAGCTGGTAAATGGATGTTCATCCCATTAAAATTGATACTAATAGGTTTTGACCCATCCCCATATTTGATAACTTATAGGATTTGACCCATCCCAAAAATCTTCCATCCATTTAAGCCCTTCGTCCTTAAATCCTCCAAGATGCCATCTCTGCATTCAGAACCTTGGTCCGTCCCAGGATGGAGACCAGCTCCTGGGGGCCATGTCATCATCTGTGGGATGGTGAAACCACCATTTCGGCCATGGCCATGGCGGCCATGGCGGCTCCTCCAGCAAGAGCTTGTTCTCTCGCTGCAAGGCAGCCTGAAAGCTGCTCATCTGCTCCACTTTCTCTGTGTACTCCGCCGTCTCTTGCCTGAATGTCGCAGCGCGCCTGGGGATTCCTCAAGTCCCAGAATATTCGAAAAAAAATCCGAAGTTGTCTACTTTTGGAGAGAATACCAATTTCTACCTCCAGCAGTTTCACTTCGTCTATCTGCATGTGCTTGGCATCCGGCGCATGCGTCTTGCGTTCCTTTTCCAAAGCCTGGGGTTAGTTCACAAAATCAGGAACCGATACTGTAGATCTAAACCTGCCAATCCACCAGAATCAACTGAATGTGAAAATAGAAATGCTCCAGCAAGCCTCCTGCGCCAATCTTTCTCCATTCCTCGCCTGCAGGCTGAAAACAACGCCATCTTTTGCAGATCCGCGATGATTCATACTGTGGAAAACCATTTAAGGCAACTGGTTCAGAATATATCATGGTCACAATCACAACTTGCAACCCAGTTGTTTTCACCCATTCAACACTCTCACTCTGGGTCACAAAATCTCCGTGACACTTCCATAGAAATGTATAGCATGTTTATATCGTCCCAATATGCAATTGGTTAAGAGTCGACTTCCACCAGAAATCATCGGATGATTTTGATTGGCGAAAGATCAAACACATATCATATCAACCACATATATATAGATATATAATATTTCAGTGAAATTGGGCCCCCTTGAATTTTGTCCATGGTTCGGTCATCCCACCATCACTAGAGGTTCCAAACATAGTGGATAAATCAACACCATGGAACATGACCATGGCACATTTGGGGCTTGAAATGGAAGGCTTCCTGCCCCAAAGTGGGGATATCATATGATTAAACCAACTAAACTGTCCATTGTTCATAGGGACTTCAATAAGGAAAAATCGGATGGGTGTAAACCTGTTTTTATCATTTTTAATTTATTTTTCATCACATTTATCCATATCCGCCGACCCCGGCAGACGCAAGGGGGAGCGCGCCAGGGAATAAGACATTGTCCCATTTGCCATTCGAAATTGACGGCCGCAGTGCCCCTGTGTTTGGATTTTTCCTGTGAACAGTGTGGATTTGGTAGCTTTGCCGCAGGAGGAGGAGGAAAAAAAAGTGGCTAAAATCATTCTTTTCGATGGGTTTCAGAAGTTACATTAGGCAATTTTTGGGCGCAATTTTGATGCCTTTCTGTCCCTCGCTGCCATGGCGTTTTCCAGCAGCAACAATAGCGCGGAAGAAAAAGTAGCGAAAATAATCCTTTTCTATGAGTTCCAGAAGTTAGACCCCGGCAGACGCAAGGGGGAGCGCGCCAGGGAATAATACTTTTGACACTTGTTTCGGACTACTACCACCTCCACTACCATGGTGTTTTCCCATCCGGCAACTGTCTTTTGAACAGAAGGAGCAGCAGCAGCAGCAGCAGCAACAGCAGCAGCAGCAGCAACCAGCAGCAGCTGGACTGGATGGTGTTTTCCCATCTGGCAACTGTTTTTTGGAGCGCGTGTCTGTCGAAAAATATTGTTTTTCTAGGATTTCAGACCACACGTTAGGCAATTGTTTGGCGCAGTTTTGGTCGTCCTTCAGAGGCATGGTGTTTCCCCCCGGGAGCTGATTTTTTCAAAGCTGTTTTAGTGCTAGCAGCCGCAGGCAACAGAATCTCTCGAAAAATAACGTTTTTCTAGGAGTTCAGACGACACGTTAGGGAGTTTTTTGGCGTGGTTTTGGAACTAGCTCGTCCTTCAGAGGCATGGTGCTTTCCCATCCGGCAGCTGTCTTTTGAACAGAAGGAGCAGCAGCAACAGCAGCAGCAGCAGCAACCAGCAGCAGCTGGACTGGATGGTGTTTTCCCATCTGGCAACTGTTTTTTTGGAGTGCGTGTCTGTCGAAAAATATTGTGTTTCTAGGATTTCAGACGGCACGTTAGGCAGTTTTTTGGCGCGGTTTTGGCACTAGCTCGTCCTTCAGAGGCATGGTGTTTTCCCCCCGGGAGCTGATATTTTCGAAGCTGTTTTAGTGCTAGCAGCCGCAGGCAACAGAATCTCTCGAAAAATGACGTTTTTCTAGGATTTCAGACGACACGTTAAGGAGTTTTTTGGCGTGGTTTTGGCACTAGCTCGTCCTTCAGAGGCATGGTGTTTTCCCCCCGGGAGCTGATTTTTTCGAAGCTGTTTTACTGCTAGCAGCCGCAGGACTGGATGGTGTTTTCCCATCTGGCAACTGTTTTTTGGAGTGCGTGTCCGTCGAAAAATATTGTATTGTTTTTCTAAGATTTCAGACGACACGTTAAGCAGTTTTTTGGCGCGGTTTTGGCACTAGCTCGTCCTTCAGAGGCATGGTGTTTTCCCCTCGGGAGCTGATTTTTTCAAAGCTGTTTTAGTGCTAGCAGCCGCAGGCAACAGAATCTCTCGAAAAATGACGTTTTTGTAGGAGTTCAGACGACACGTTAGGGAGTTTTTTGGCGTGGTTTTGGCACTAGCTCGTCCTTCAGAGGCATGGTGTTTTCCCCCGGGAGCTGATTTTTTCGAAGCTGTTTTACTGCTCGCAGCCGCAGGCAACAGAATCTCTCCAAAATCTCTCGAAAAATGCTGTTTTTCTAGGATTTCAGATGACACGTTAGGCAGTTTTTTGGCGTGGTTCTGGAACTAGCTCGTCCTTCAGAGGCATGGTGTTTTCCGCCCGGGAGCTGATTTTTTCGAAGCTGTTTTAGTGCTAGCAGCCGCAGGCAATAGACTCTCTCGAAAATCTCTCGAAAAATGTTGTTTTTCTAAGATTTCAGACGACACGTTAGGCAGTTTTTTGGCGTGGTTTTGGCACTAGCTCGTCCTTCAGAGGCATGGTGTTTTCTGCCCGGCAACTGATTTTTTCGAAGCTGTTTTACTGCTCGCAGCCGCAGGCAACAGAATCTCTCCAAAATCTCTCGAAAAATGCTGTTTTTCTAGAATTTCAGATGACACGTTAGGCAGCTTTTTGGCGTGGTTCTGGAACTAGCTCGTCCTTCAGAGGCATGGTGTTTTCCCCCGGGAGCTGATTTTTTCGAAGCTGTTTTAGTGCTAGCAGCCGCAGGCAACAGAATCTCTCGAAAAATGTTGTTTTTCTAGGATTTCAGACGACACGTTAGGCAGTTTTTTGGCGTGGTTTTGGCACTAGCTCGTCCTTCAGCTAGCAGCCGCAGGCAACAGAATCTGTCGAAAAATCTGTCGAAAAATCCTGTTTTTCTAGGATTTCAGACGACACGTTAGGGAGTTTTTTGGCGTGGTTTTGGCACTAGCTCGTCCTTCAGAGGCATGGTGTTTTCCCCCCGGAAGCTGATTTTTTCGAAGCTGTTTTACTGCTCGCAGCCGCAGGCAACAGAATCTGTCGTAAAATCCTGTTTTTCTAGGATTTCAGACGACACGGTTTTGGAACTAGTTCGTCCTTCAGAGGCATGGTGTTTTCCCCCCGGGAGGTGTTTTTTTCGAAGCTAATTTACTGCTAGCAGCCGCAGGCAACAGAATCTGTCCAAAAATATTGTTTTTCTAGAATTTCAGACGACACGTTATAGGCAGTTTTTTGGCGCCGTTTTGGAACTAGCTCGTCCTTCAGAGGCATGGTGTTTTCCCCCGGGAGGTGATTTTTTCGAATCTATTTTACTGCTAGCAGCCGCAGGCAACAGAATCTGTCGAAAAATGTTGTTTTTCTAGGTTTTCAGACGACACGTTAGGCAGTTTTTTGGCGTCGTTTTGGAACTAGCTCGTCCTTCAGAGGATGTTTCCCCCCCCAAAGGTGATTTTTTCGAAGCTGTTTTACTGCTAGCAGCCGCAGGCAACAGAATCTGTCGAAAAATGCTGTTTTTCTAGCTCTCGGTAGGAGAGAGGGGCCGCCGCCCCTGCCGCCGACCTCGCGGTGGGGTGTGCGTGTCGACAGAACCCCCTGTAATTTACAGTGTTTTTTGGCCCTGTGACATTCAACATGTTTTTGCACAAACATCGCACATGTGGCTCAAGATGGGTCAACATGGGCCGACATAGGCCTCAAGATGGGCCAACATAGCCTCAAGATGGGCCAACATAGCCCCCAAGATGAGCTAAGATAGCCCCAAGATGGGCCAACATAGCCCCCAAAATGGGCCAACATAGCCCCAAGATGGGCCAACATAGCCCCAAGATGCGCCCATATTGCCCTCAAGATAGGCCAACACAGCCCCAAGATAGGCCGCCGACCAGCAAAATATCGTGCGTTTTACTGTGTTTTTTTGCTGTTCCCATTTTTCGGATCTTTTGGCTCAACATGGGTCAACATGGGACAACATAGGCCTCAAGATCGGCCGACATAGGCCTCACGATCCGCCCACATAGTCCAACATAGCCCCAAGCTGGGCCAACATAGCCCGCAAGATAGGCCAACATAGGTGGGCCACGATAGCGCCAAGATGGACCAACGTAGCCCCAAGATCGGGCAACATAGCCCCCAAGCTGGGCCAACATAGCCCCAAGATGGGGCCACATTGCCCTCAAGATAGGCCAACATAGCCCCAAGATGGGCCAACATAGCCCCAAGATGGGCCAACATAGCCCCAAGATAGGCCGCCGACCATCAAAATATCGTGCGTTTTACAGTGTTTTTTGCTGTTCCCATTTTTCGGATCCTTTGGCTCAACATGGGTCAGCATGGGCCAACATAGGCCTCAAGATCGGCCGACATAGGCCTCAAGATCGGCCCACATACCCTTGAAGATAGGCCAACATAGCTCGAAGCTGGGCCCACATTGCCCGCCACAAGATGGGCCAACATAGTTGGGCCCCTGGCCGGCTGTCGCGCGTAAGCGCTTAAATCGGGCCAGCAGGCCCTGTCGACGGGCAACGCCCCCGGCCGAAGGCCGTTAGCTTTAGCTATAGGGCTGCGCGCCCCTACCGCCGACCATGCGTAGTCAAAAAAAACCTCGTAATTTACGGTGTTTTTTGCTCTTCGAGCAAAACACCTGCCCCAACATAGCCCCAAGATGGCCCAAGATGGTCCCCAAGCTGGCCCCAACATGGCCCCAAGATGGCCCAACATAGGCCCAAGATAGCCCCAAGATGGCCCAACCTAGGCCCAAGATGGCCCAACATGGCCCCAAGTGGCCCCAAGATCGCCCAACATGACCCCAAGATGGCTCAACATAGCTCCAAGATGGCCCAACATAGCCCCGAGATAGCCCAACTTAGCTCCAACTTGATGCAAAAGACAACAACATCAACCACATCGACAACATCAACGACATCAACAGCATCAACAACATCAACAACAACATCACCAACAACAACATCATCATCGACAACAACGACAACGACAACAACAACAACAACAACCACAACCACAACCACAAACACATCCACAACTACAACCACAACCACAACCACAGCAGCAACAACCACAACAGTTGTTGTTCTTGTTCGTGTTGTTGTTTTTGTTGTTGTTGTCGTTGTTGTTGTTGTTGTTGTCGTCGTTGTTGTTGTTGCTGTTGTTGTTGTGGTTGTTGTTGCTGTTGCTGTTGCTGTTGTTGTTGTTGCTGTGTTTCTTGTTGTGGTTGTGGTTGTAAGAGTCATCGTAGTCGTCGTAGTAGTCGTAGTAGTCGTACTCGTCGTAGTCGCCGTAGTCGTCGTAGTAGTAGTCGTAGTAGTAGTAGTAGTCGTCGTCGTCGTCGTAGTAGTAGTAGTCATCGTAGTAGTAGTTGCTGTTGTTGTTGTCGTTGTCGTTGCTGTTGTTGTCGTTGTCCTTATCGCTATCGTTGTCCTTGCCGTTATCGTTGTCGTTATCATTATCGTTGTCCTTGTCGTTGTCGTTGCTGTTGTTGTCGTTGTCCTTATCGCTATCGTTGTCGTTGTCGTTGTGGTTGTGGTCGTGGTCGTGGTCGTGGTCGTGGTCGTGGTCGTGGTCGTGGTCGTTGTCGTTGTCGTCGTCGTCGTCGTCGTTGTTGTTGTTGTTGTTGTTCATTTTGAGGCTGCTAATGATGATGATGATGCTGATGCTGGTGATGATGATGATGATGATGGTTGTGATGATGATGTTGCTGATGATGCTGATCCCACCCTGCACCTTTTGGCCTGCTGGCCCGCTGTTGGGCGTCAGCCCCTTAAATATGGGGGGAATAACTTATGGAATCACAATCAATAATCGGACATTTCGGGTACCCTCTGGTAATTTAACATAGCTATTGAAAATGACCCATTTATAGTTGTTTTACCCATTAATAATGGTGATTTTCCATAGCTATGTTAGTTTACCAGAGGGTACCATGTCACCATGGTCGCCTTCTCCAGCTCCGCTTGCAGCTCCTCCAAGCGCACCGCCTGGCGCATGCAGACCTCGGCCAACTTTGGGACGTGCACGTCCTAGGTCGGGCGTCGAAACATCCAAGAAAAACCTGGGGATTTTTCGATGGGACTCCAGACGAATTAACCAACTACCCTCTGGTAAACATACAAAAAACTATGGAAAGATCCACCATTCTTAATGGGAAAATCAACTACATATGTCTATGGCCATGTTCAATAGCTTTTTGTATGTTTACCAGAGGGTGACCAACTAGTTTGGGAAAAAAAATTGTAAGCCACCAAACATTGGGATTCAACATAGCTTAAAGGCTTAAGACTTTTAGACACCGAGCCAACCATCAGAATGTCCTTGGAGACCATCTCAGGTGGCGCTCGCTCAACGACTGAATCAATGCGGATGCAGCTGGTTGGGAAAGTCTGATTGTCCAGCTGACTTCCTAGGGATATGGGGATGGGTCAAAACCCTGGTACCCCTGGTGAACCCCAAAATAGCTGGTAAATGGATGTTCATCCCACTAAAAATGGTATTAATAGGTATTGACCCATACCGCATACCCATATTTTTTCGGAATATGGATACCCATAGTTCGAACTCCGAACCGCTCCCTCCGTGAACAAGGCATCCAACTAAGAAATGCGGAGATAGAAAGATGAATGGTGCGAAATATGATCCAATTTGTGGATATTGTGAACTCCCTTTTGACTTTTTACGATATCCCCATGGTTGCTGCCTACAAAAAAAATCTCTAGTGGGAAGTCCCTGCCTTGTTGACCAAACCGCTGCGCATCTGCCATCCCGCAGCATGATGTATCTACATAGCGGAAGTGCTGCCCTACAGCCTCTACTCATCCACTAAGTCTGAGTGGTTTCAATGAAGATAGCTCTTGACATCTCCTTCCGGTCAAGGTACACATCTTCAATCCATTTCAATCTTGAGTGCTGAAACATGCTGTTGTAAAGCCTTGCAACAAGCCAACCCTTTCCAGTTGATGCCATTCCCACTGGTATCCATCAAAAAAGTGCCTTCCAAAGCCTGAATTCATGGTGATAACATGTGACATAAATCAGTGATAACTGCTCAACAACTTCGAGCGAGCCAATGGCTGAAGTCAACTGACTCACTGGTGAAACCACTGGATTCACTGGATCCACTGGTGAAAACCATCACTGGATCATCCCAGCGGCACCCCATTTTTTCTGCCTGCTCAGCCGGGCTGCCTCCAGGAGAGCACGTCAGGGCCATGAAAGGAGAAGGCCTGGAGGCTCAGCGCAAGGCGTATTTCGAAAGGCTACAAATTCTTGACCAATGTGGCATAAGTTGGTTGGTTGAATATGGAAATGAATGGAAATGATCTATTGTCCATTGATGCCCAGTTTTTTACCCTTTGTTCTTTTTAGGTGGCATTCAAATGCACTCTTCGCACCAGCAAACCAGTGCCCCTGTGTTGTTCAGGGCAACGGTTTTCATGGTGAAAGGTTGACCGCAATGGCCAAAGGGTACCCCCATTGAAACCAAACATTATTACAACAACCTAAAACATTTATATATATATAGCAATATAACCAAAAAGAAACAGTCAAACATTTCAGATTACAAGATTGAACAAAAACATAACAGCCTCCCACCTGACCTACAACCTGTCCTGTCCTAGTTTCCCCATTTCCCCATTTTTTCCCATTTTTCACATCCATAGTCTTTGTCCTCCAGCTTCAATGCCTCCTTGGGAGAGGACGACCATGGAGGGGTGCTCGCAGAGGCTCCTATGTTCGATTGGCCAATGGCTTGAGGCCACATCATCTTTCCATGGTAAGCTCAGGCCTGAATCCATTCCCGAGCCAGCATTGGGAGTCCTGCAAAACCACAACGATGGAGCAGTGGATCCGAAGTTCGGTGCAACTGGCAAAAGTCAACCAAAAGTCCCTGTCAGTCCCTTGGAATTTGATGAAAATCCGACTCTCCTGCTTCTTACCTCCCGAGCTGCAGCTGCATCCTCAGGAACGTTGTGTTTAAACCCTTACTCTGTATTTGAACCCTCCAAGGCAGTCACTTCCTCAAGGGGATGAAACTTCAGAAGCGAGGCCTCAGCATCTTCCTCTGCAATGGGCAGGTAGAGTGCCTGTGAGGAGATGAGCGAAGACAGCACGTTACAAAGTGCCCGAGGTGGTCCACAAAGAAAAATAGATTGTTGTTTGATTTATTCCAGCAAGAATTGCATCTTGGTGACGGAATTGAACCTGTGTTCACCGTTGTTTGAAGAGAACCTGCCTGGTTGTGCCATTTTTGAGCTTTCTTGCCTCGCAGGTCGCGTCTGGAAGTCCGTATGATTCACACACATAAAAAAAAACTGCCATGGAGTCCAGTCCTCCAGTCCTCCAGTCCCAGCAGCCCTGACCTCTGGACTTCGAACTGGAACAACATCTCAGCAAACAATATACCTTTCAGCATCTCACCACACACACCCTTTCTTCTGTGCCATAGGAACTGCAGTTTTGTGAAGGAAATGGCCCACAAGACTCTCCACGCAAATCTACTTGGGTTGTTGCCGGCCAATTATCTTAACCACTCGCTGGGTCAGCCAGCTGGGTCACTACTAGTCCAAGAAGTATCAGGCCAGCGGGTGCCGAATACATCAGAGGGACGCTCTCCACTGCTTCCTGACAGGATCATGGGGATCATGGGGGTTCTGGCGTTGAGCTGACCAAATCCACAAAGAAACGCTACCCTCTGATTATGTAACATAGCTACAAAACATTGTCCATTTATAGATGATAAACATTTGATAAACATGATGATTTACCGGATTTACCTATGAAAAAGGGTGATTTTCATTTATTTTGCAGTTCGCTACGTTGAACAGCAGGTATATCATGCAGCTCAAACCCGCCAGGTCTGCCAGCGTTGCTTCAGATCCTGCCACCAGCTGTGCTGGCAGGTCGCCAGAGCTTCGAGCCTCGCTGCGGCTCAGACATCGTTCCTAGCTATGGCAGCTATGGGAAGGTCTAGCCGAGTCTAGCCACAGTGCCCTCCAAGTCAAGATTCACTCAAACTCTTGGAAGCTGATGATTCTCATGACAAATTGTGGAAGTCCCAAATTTGATGATTAGAAACGTCATTTTTCGAAAGATAGCCATATATTGGGGGTCTCCCCCGTGCTTTAGACATTTCGCTGCTGAGGCGGCAGCCATAACCAGCGCGGGACACTTGGCAGGGCCAGACATCGCCTCCTAATGCTTGCAAACTGGGCGTGTCACAAGGATTCTGGGGAGTCACTTGAGAATATAGCCAACAAGATAAGGGAATTGTTCTGGGGGTAAATGTCATTCCATGTGTTACTGGTTGACTAAGAACGGGATTCACACTTCATGGATTGTGATAATCACCCATTTATGAAGGGCAGTATATCCCCTAGTCATCAACGAACTCGGGGTGTCTTGCAGCCACTCTTCACATGCATCAGACAATCAGACCATCACCATTTCAGTGGTCATTTGGGTCTGAAAATTGGATACCCCCAAAAAAATCCCATGGAAAAAAAAAACCATCAGTTTTCCCATTCAAGATCTCACCATCTCACCATTGGATTCAATCCCAGCCATGTAGCCATGTTTGCCGGCCTCGTTTGGGGCTGCCGAGAAGTTCCCACCTTCCGTTCGTGTGGATGGTCCCATTTTTTTAGCCCCAATTTTGGGAATCAAAGAAGAAAAGGAATTGGTTTCCCTACGATTCTGGATTCATCCAGTAGGAAATGGCCCCTAACTGAAAAAATGGGGAAGTTGATCTCCTATTTGGTTGGATACACCTATCAATTGCGTTGTATAGATCAAGATGTAGCTGTGTTACGTTTCTCTTCTGATATCCCAAGTGTATATATATATATATATGCATATGCATATGCATATGTAGATACATATACACATATATACATACATGTGTGTATATACATATGTATACATGTGTGTATATACATATGTATACATGTGTACAGTAGAAGTAACACAACGTAAACATCATCCTCCGTGGCATTTAGTCTCTGACATGTGCAAAGCTAGAGAAATCTGGGCCAGTGAAAATCTGGACCACTAAATCGGGTCATCCATCTGCCAAAAAGTTGGAATTCTCTGGAGTTCTCATCCCGTGTTGGGGACACCGAATTGCGATTGTGGTCTACAGTGGTCTACCATCTCGCAAGGTCTGAATCACTGAGGATAAGCAACATATTCAGCAGATTACGGACTTGAAGCACCTACTGGTCTTAAGTGTCCCTACCAGGTGCACTATATGCTATACTAACGATGCAACCTGCAATTGCTAATGCACATGGTTCGCCCTACGAGGACGGCTCAAAAACGTTGTGAAACTGTGCCCAATTGCCACCAATTAATTGCTGGACCCATTTTGCTTAGTCAGTTGCTGATTTTGGAAAGTTTCCGAAGACCTCTCCAACAACGTGCCAGTACCAGTCGGGCGTGGCGAAACTCTGTTTCTCCGTCGCGTTCGCAACTCCATGGGGCGGCCGTTTGCGTTCCGGCTGCTGTGGCCCCGATTCTGCGCTATTCAATTTCACGGTCATTGAACATCGATTTGCAATCGATTTGCCATAGGCTGACATAGCCAAGTCACATTGTCATGAAAAGGATTGCGCAAGGTTCAACACAGAAAATAAAGCCTGATGAGAAATCACCGGCCATGATTTGGCAAAGGATCAAACCTCGAGACTCAAGGAACTGCGAATCCAGGTCATTTGGTGGGTCTTGATTTTGTCCCCACGACCCGTACTGCTGATTCGTCAATGCTCCCATCTCAGAGCTGCGCCATCCATTTTCCGGTATTTACACTGACTCGCTCCCAGCTAGGCAGAAGGATATGGGTCAACATTCCTCTACAGACTTTAGAAAATTTGGCAAAAGGGAATAAATAGTAATAATGGTTATATCCCTCTTTTTGCTGTGCTCAACCCCCCCCCATTTTTGATGCTCAAATTTGGGGTGCCTAGCGTTGACCCATAGTTAGAAGATCTTCTACAGCGTGCAGTGGCTCTCTGTTTGCACCACGAATTCTCGTTGAAATTGTAATGCAGCCGCGTCAGGCACACAGCCGCCGACGGCCTCAAAGCCACAACTGGGACACTGGGCCCCCGGGGCTGGCGTGATTTGTGCTATTTGTGCCCTTTCACTCATCTGTCTATTTATTTATCTTACATACGCATAGGTCAGTAGATGTGTGTGTGTATGTGTGTTTGACATTTGTATATAAATGTGTGCGTGTACATTACATCTATATGCTGTAAATTTGTATCTATGAGATAGATTGAAAAGATATATATATATATAATTGTATTTTTGTCTATATATATGTATATGTTTATTTATTTGTTTATTTATTTATTTATTTAGTTAGTTAGTTAGTTAGTTATTTATATATATATATATACATTTATTTATACATATATATATATACTCATATTTATATATATATAACATGGTGTATGTGTATGTATGTAAACGATTGTAAATATACATATGTATGGCTAACCTCAGTTGGGTAAGTTGCTAAACCAGACTCCTGACCTCTTTGCAGAAGGTGCAGATTGTCTCTGATCTGAAAAGAAAACTATTTCTGGCTGCAGCATCGCCGCAACAGGATTCGCTTGGCCAGCAGATTGCAGCTCGAAGTATACAGAAGACAACTCGCATATACAGGATATTCTGGACATTGATCAAGAAAAATATTCGTAGTGTTAGAAAAATTAGACGACGGTTGGCCCGAAAGCGAGTAGGTGTAGTGTATAGGTACTCAGATGTGTTATGTAGTTGTATGATTTGCAGACGCCAAAGACTTACATGAATATGTTCATGAGAATGTTATTTGAGATCATGTGAACATGTTCGTTATGTGTAGATGTCAAGATCAGAAGATGTGAAGATGTCAGGGTTTTAGTTGCAAGAGACAGACAAGGTATGCTGCATAGAAGATGTGAAAAATACACCCATACAGATATGATCAGATATGCTGATAGGCTCTCAAACACGGACACACGCAGAGAAACATGTTTACACATATATACACAGACACACACAGACACACACACACACAAACCCACACACACAGAAGCTTTTGCACACAGAAGTTTCTACACACAGAAGCCTGTACACACAAAAGTTTTTACACACAGCAGTTTTTACACACAAACGCTTTTACACGCAAAAGATTTTACACACAAACGTTTTTACATACAAAAGTTTTTATGCACAGAAGATTTTTTTCCCACATGCTCAGTCACGTTTACACACAGAAGCTTTTACACACAGAAATTTTTACACACAAACGCTTTTACATCCAGATGCTTTGACACACAGACTCTTTTGCAGGCAGAAACCTTTACACACAAACACTTTTACACAGAGAAGTTGTTGCACAGAGAAGCTTTTACACACAGAAGTTTTTACACACAAAAGCTTTTACACACAGAAGCTTTTACACACAGAAGCTCTTCCACAGAGAAATTTTTGCACACAGAAGTTTTTTGCATATAGAAGTTTTTACACACAGAAGTTTTTACACACAAAAGCTTCTACACACAGACACTTTTGCACACAGACGCTTTTTTACACAGACCCTTACATACACAAGTTTTACCACACAGACGCTTTTACACACAAAAGCTTTTACACACAGCACGCTTTTGCAGACTCTTTTACAGACAGCACGCTTCTACACACAGACGCTTTTACACACAGAAGGTTTTTACACTGTACACACAGAAGCTTTTACACACAGCAAGCTTTTACACACAGAAGCTTTTACATACAGAAGCTTTACACACAGCAAGTTTTTTTAAACAGAACCTTTTTACTCACAGACACTTTTACACACAGGCGCTTTTACACGCAAACACTTACATACGCAAGTTTTTACACACAGACGCTTTTACACACAAAGGCTTTTACGCACAGAAGCTTTTACACACCGCACGCTTTTACAGACTATTTTACACACAGCACGCTTTTACACACAGATGTTTTTACACACAGCCGCTTTTACACACAGACTCTTTTACACACAGATGCTTTTACACACAGAAGCTTTTACACACAGAGGCTTTTGCACACAAGCACTTTTACACACAAGCATTGGTACACGTTCACACACAGACGCTCATACATACTGCACACAGATGCTTTATGTCAGACTGGAACACTTCGACACACAAACGCATTCAAACGCGTTTACACGCGCATGCTTTTATACACAGCCGCTCTTGTTACACACAAACGCATTTACACACAACCTTCTTTACACACAAACGCTCTTGCAGTGTGCCACAAACACTCCGCCGGACCAACCAAACCACAAATAACCATCAGTTTGTCACACTGGAGAGAGAGAGAGAGAAGATGAGAAGATGAGAAGATGATAAGATGAGAAGATGAGAAGATGAGAAGATGAGAAGATGAGAAGATGAGAAGATGAGAAGATGAGAAGATGAGAAGATGAGAAGATGAGAAGATGTGAAGATGTGAAGATGTGAAGATGTGAAGATGTGAAGATGTGAAGATGTGAAGATGTGAAGATGATATGTGTAGATGTGAAGATGAGAAAATGTGTGAAGATGCAAAACAGACCCCCACTATTAGAAGAACCCTTCGCTCAGACGCTCTCGGGAAAAAACGCTCAACTTTACGAGAAACAAACCCTGAATGGAAATTTTATGAAATGGTGGTACCCCCAAATCATCCAAATTAGTCCATGTTCGTATTGAAACCTATGGTTTTGGGGATACCCAATTTTGAGGCACCCCCATGATCCTGTCAAGGCGTTTAGCCAAGGTTTTCGAAGTTCAGCTGAACCTTCACTTGGTGCCCCGGCACATCCATTTGCCCTCATGGCTCTTCACGAGTCTCCCCTCCAGTGTATTCGTAATAAACCCGTGGAGTCTCTCGCGGCAACGGGAAGAGGGTTCCTTGGATTTGCGAAAAAGAGAATAAAATCGACACCTTCCGTTCAGATTGCCCAGTCCCGATGTTCAAACCAAAATAGACATCTTGCCGACAGGCCCCTGAAATTCAACAGAAATATTGTTTTTTGAAACCAATAATTCACCTGACTCCAAAATAGCAACTCACTGGGGTGACATAGTAAAGAAAGAAACCAATCAACGGGGGTTGTGGTTGAACTGCTCGGACTGGCACTGTCAGACCCTGATCCCTCCGAACCCATCTCCCGAGATGTCATCTCGAAAACCCAAAAATCACCTTAAGCAAATTTCATGTATACCCCAAGAAGGTAGATTTACCCAAAAATGATGCGGTTCCCACTTGACTTTCGAACCCATCCAAGGTCCAAGGCTCTGGTTGAGGCGCCAGAAATCCCGAAAGCTTTGTTCGGACTGGCGCCATCAGACTCCGCTCCCGAAGCCATCTCCAAATCCTGGAGATTTGGATGGCAGGGCTCAGTCACATACCCAGCTTCAATCAGTGATTCCATGATGATTCGACGCAATACAGAACCAGGGCTGGTGCTGGCGCTGTTGAGTATGCCGGGGCAGGGATCGACTGTGTTTGACCATCGAATCAAGACCTACATGTGCAATTTCGTCTTGAATGGATATATAGATGTAGATACAGCTGGTACATCAAAATATAACGTGGACAACTCGGCAAAAGACATCCCCGATCCTCTGGTGGTGAAAGTTTCGCTTGCATCTCCTGCTGCTGCTCCCTGTGAATCCGCTCTAACCAGCCTTGGTACCTGGGGAGCCGTTAATTTATGGCAATTTTGATGTGGAAATCCCTGAACTAAATGGGCAGTTCAATGGACAAATCATCCATGAATTTACTATAAGTGGGGTTGTCCATTACCATGTTTGATTACCAGAGGGTATCATAAACAAAGCAATTTTGGTGATACCCACTTTTGAGACGCATACATCCTGGCTGTGGTTCAAAATGATCAAGGCCCCGTTGCAGTGAGAAGTGAAATAGCCATAGCATTTTCCACTAATTCCATCTCCAACAAATGGTCGATATATAGAGAAATTCACGGAGCACCTGGATTTCAAGATGCTTTGGCACTTTCACAAACCCCCCAAGGACATGGGGATCATCCAGGGAAGCTCCTCAAACACCAGCACCCCCGGGTTCGGCGCACAGGGCAACACAACAGAAGCCGGCATACATCGTACACAGGATCGCCATCAAGACGTAGTTTCCTGGCCACTGCCACTGCATCTGGGATAGTTTTGGTAGATATTACATCGGAGTATACAAATTATATTACGGGGCATGAATATGGATGAATACTCGGTAAACCATTTGGAGATGGGATGAGAAAATGCTCGCATGATATTTTGTCAATATTGAAGACCCACCTTGGGATGGATACTGGCGATGATATTGGTGAGTTCATCCTGGTGGCTCTGTCTGAAAAAAAATGGGGAAACACAAAAATCCAAGAATCCAATGGTAAGATTCCATATCTGCACAAACCCAGTATTTGTACATGGGTTTTTACATCAAACATAGTTTGTAGTTATGGATGGTCGCCCCTCCATCTCCAATAGTCCCATCAGTACCACGACCCATCCGCAAACGATGTTCCTGGTTCCTTTTCATGGGAATTTTGGTTTCTGTAGACTATAGATGAAGTGTAGTTTGTTGGGATTCAGAAATGGCTGCGATGATCTGAATGATGGCCGCGTAGGGCCTCTACCCAGCTACTCACAAAGCTACCTTCAGGGTCTCAACCGAGCAGGGTGAAAAATCTCTATGCCCGAGACGAGAATGGAGTGCCGAGCTAATGAGGAGGACTCGGTTCAATAAATCACCGGTTTTTCCTCTGTATATTTAAATCCGCCCGCACCGAAGGTGCTGGGGGTGATCTTCCGGATGGCACTCGTAAAAGGTTACAGGTTTACCTGGGGGGGGGGGCATTTTTCGGCCAAAACCTCCTGTTTTTGATAGGTCGTGACGCTCGCCTTCAAAAAACACTGTAAAAACAGTACGGAAGACACCTGTTCGTGAACGCGCCCGTCCAAAATCGGCAAGCGAAAAGTGAAAAAAAACGTGTTTTTCAACTTTTTGACCTCAATTTTTTGGTTTGCAACATCTTTTTTTGCGGTTCCGCAGGTGGCCGGGCCCGGAGGCGGATTTTTGAGTTTTTGGACCCGTTTTCGGACTGATTTTCGTCGTTTTGTGATAGCAGAAACACTGGTTTTTACAGTGTTTTTCTGTTTTCTGCATGCTTGACGGCTAGCTTCAAAACTTCCAAAAACCTCGTAAATTACGCTGTTTTATGTTACGGTGTGAATGAAAACATCGTAAATACCAGTGTTTTTTGACGTTGGTTAAAAAAACACTGTAAATTACAGTGTTTTGGCCACCTGACCCTCAAAAACCATGGTATTTGCAGTGGTTTCTGCTTCTCACCGCGCAAAAACACTGTAAATAACGGCAATTTCGCCGTTTTTTCATGTTTTTCGTTATTTTTTGAACTGCGTTGGTAGTACTTTCGGATGTTTTTGGTCTCAATGGCCGACATCATTGGCAGTTACGAGCGGCTGCCCAACGATGCGGTGCGGGCGGTTGCCGTCGCGAAGCGACGTGAATATATATGTATATATATATATATATAGATATACGTGTGTATATATATATATAATATTATATATATACATATGAGCCAGGCCCCCCCACCCCGTGGCTTGGACTGTTGCGTTCTATGTGACGGCCCCGCTTGTGAAGAAATATAGCACTATATCAAACATACAGGCATGCATTCATATGTATGCATACGGACAGACATACATACAAATATCTCTCCCCCTCCCCCCCCCCAATGGTCCCCCCCCCTGTGGCCAGGGCGGGGGGGTATGTATGTATGTGTTGATGTCTGGGGTGTATGGGATCTGTGGCATCGATGCAGAAATTCAGGTATGTTTGTGTACATGTCTGCTTGTCACTGTATGGGGTATCATACACATGGAGAATATATATACAATACGTGTAAGGTATATAGAGCCTCTAGATAGAGCACGTGCAGTATATATATATAGAGAGAGAGTGTATCCAAAGTATATAGAGAGTACGTACATAATATGCTATATAGTATATGTTTTTTTTCAAAATGATATGTTGCATGAAGAATAGAGTGTAGTATTTAGGGTCAAAAGTAGTTCTATGGCAGTGTATAGTATACAGGGAAGTATGTAGTATAGAATAACCATGTTAATGCGCTACTTTAGGTCGCGTGTGTTGGTGTAGCTTTGCCTGGCGTAGGCTTGGTGCTAGAGCGTCTCACCGGATTGACATGCTTTTTTGCAGTGAGTAAGGTACAACTGAGGGTCCTCGCTGCCTTGGTGTTGTGCCCTCACTCACATAGTGTAGGATAGAATAGTAGCCCCACGGGGAAGAGTGTATGGATGTAAAGAGGCAATAGGGAAGGAGCCTGGCAACTGGACGTGCGGGACTGGGGGGTGGGCAACCATACCATAGGGGGGTGGGAGCCCGGGGACCGGGCTCATTATATATATATATATATCTATATGTATGTATGTATGTATGTATGTATATATATATGTATGTATATGTGTATGTATATGTGTATGTATATGTGTATGTATATGTGTATGTATATGTGTATGTATATGTGTATGTATATGTGTATGTATATGTGTATGTATATGTGTATGTATATGTGTATGTATATGTGTATGTATATGTGTATGTATATGTATATGTGTATGCGTATGTGTGTATGCGTATGTGTATGTGTATGTGTATGTGTATTTATGTATGTATGTATGTATGTATGTATGTATGTATGTATGTATGTATGTATGTATGTATGTATGTGTATGTGTATGTGTATGTGTATGTGTATGTATACATATGTGTATGTATACATATGTGTATGTATACATACATATATATATATATATACATATATATATGCACAGCGTCTCCCAATCCAGTCTATTGTTGGTTTAATAATTGTATAACGTTTATAATACCATATGTGTTTTTGGCTTTACATCCAGCATAACCAATCAGCTCCATGGCTGGAAAATCCACTGTGCCTCACATTTTGAGACCCTACCATCAATCTTCTAAGATCCCCATCGATAAATCGTAAATCAGCCTGGTTGTGCCCCTCACTAAACAGGCCGGCTGATTGGGCATGGTTTACGGAATAAACATCAATAAACATCACTAACATTCTGAGTCGTACTCGGATGTGCATCCGAGATTAAAAAAGAGTAACTAACTGGCTGATCATCATTGATCATCCAGATATACGGATATATAACTCAGGATATCCCAAACTGGAATGTAGCCGCGATCGCCTAAGATCTCAGGCACACCCAAGCAGTAAGGTCAGAAAATGAAGTGGCCCAAAAAAAATATGCTGGTTGAATTATCACCCTTTTCCCCTCTTAAATTTGCACAACAAATTAAAAGGGTATGCCCTAGTTCCGGACAAACTCAGATCTGCTCTTCAAACACAGCCACCTTCGAGTTTCCAGTATGTTGTTGTTTTCTTCCTGCGGAGCGCGCGGAGATGGGGTGCGCTTGGAAATGTTCATCTGGTGGATAATGGAAGGCACAAGCCATGGCTGACCTTAGACAACCCTCCAGATAGTGGCTTGTTCTTGCGGATCCCAAAACAAACTCTTTTGACATGGATGAAAAAACTCAACCACCAAGCTCTCTATTCCGAAATCAACTGATGTTTTTGTCTGTCCATATTTGCAGCCTTCCCCAAGAATGTCTTGCAACTATGCAGCTCCCTTGTATTGTCTTCACTGTCCTGGTGCCTTTTCTGAAAGGGTTGCGAGTTGGATCAACAGCAGACTTGTTCACCCCATTGGTTTCACTTTGGATATTTTATGATTTATAAATCCCAGTTCTGATTTTCTCCGTGTCAGTGTCTTCTCATTTCTATTGCTTCATAACTTCATAACATTTCTATGTCTCTTGTCAGTAGACCCAGCTTTGGTGTTATGCCATTGCGAAGTTGCAGGGTTGCTTGCATTTCCTCGGAGATGATGTCTTGTCTCAAATATTCAATTGATAGGAAATGAATCATATGAATCCATATCATCAGCCATCCTGAAATATCTCCAAGATTTCCCGAAACGATTCCAGCCCCCCTCGCCTCCCGCGCAACTTGGTCGAAACCACTCGCATGTCAGCAACCTTGGTCGCCTCAGCTGATCTTTCAAACCCGGGCTGTAGGTGGTTTGCTGGTCAAAATCACGATCTTGCCGGACAAAATCCGGTCGTATTGAATGAGTTCACCCTTGCCTTGAGTTATGTACATGTACATATTCATATACATCTAGACCTGAGACCTGATCTCTGTCGTACATGGATGGATATTGATATATATATATATATTTATTTATACGATCATAGAAAAGGAGTGTTTCCCCATAGATACCTGGTCCAAGTCGTCAAGCCGAGCCCGGCCTGGTCCATGATGCGACCATAGGCAGCTTCGGCTTCTGAAAGGACGGGGCCACCGGGGCCACCGGGGCCATGGGATCGGTGGATCCAGGGGATCCAGGATATGCTCTGGTCATGTTGTTACCAACCCCTGGACAGTTGGGAAGATCAGCCAATGAAATGGCATGAAATGGCATGAAATGGCTATGAAATGGAAGTCTTCCATTGCCAGGTTAGATTATATTATATATATATATATATATCAGAGGCTGTAGCACCAAAACTTGTACCAGCACTTTGGATGTCAGCAGGGACTCATACCACTGGAACAGGCTTCGGCTTTCGGTGTGTCCACGTCCCCATCTTTGGGGCCCGTGTTAGTTTACAAATGCCTAAGGCTGCTCAGTCTTAGTGTTCCAGCTTGCTTTTGGCTCAATTATAGTATCATATAATCATATATATAATTTAATCGAACCCCAGTAAGTGAGTAGTTCATACCCTGTACTCCCTTCCCCCATATTGAACACCCTCTTGAAACCCCAGTTTGATATTGGAACCATCAATTTTTGGGGGGCCAAGTACAGTCGGAATGATGTTACACTTACCAGTAGGGGAAGGCGCTGCCAGAACCCACCATATGCCAATATCATCCAACATCCATCCAATTGGACCGATGACCGGTGTAAAAACCCGAAGATTTCATCAACCTGGTGGACCTGACACCCCTGACCTTTCTCCAAGCTGCTTCGGTGGATCTCCTCCACAGCCGGCAACGCTTCCGGCCCGCCCGCTGCAGCCTCTGCCTCCACTGCCACGCCAGCGGCCACTTGGTCCGGAGTGGCGTCGCCGGTGATGGTGATGGCCGCACCAGGGGCAACTCCTGGAACGATCCACTGCAACTGAGACTTTTTGATGGGATAAATGATGGAAAAACGATGGAAAAATGAGGTCTTGACTTCGACCAAGAAACTAATGACCATCTCTGCAAGCTTACATCTGGATTGCATAAGTGTTGCATGAAGCTACCATCTAGTTCAACGATGATCAAAGTACATATCACCATTCTAGTTCAGAGACCCCATGTTTGGTGCTGAAATCCTCAGTCCGCCTTCTGAGATTCTGAAGTTTGCGGGTCCTGAAGTACAACTCTTGGCTCCGCTTGTGGCCTGAACACGTGGAATGGCCAGGGGTGGACATTAGTCCAGGGAAAACCTCGGTGGGTTGAGAGAAGGTTCAAAATAGGATACTGAAGGCACAGAACTGGGTGGCTCACTACTAAAATGACCACAATCTGTGGCCTCGAATTAGCGACCGTGACCTTTGCCAGGACCATTTCGCTACGATTCAGCATCCCAGGCTGAAACGATGCGAGAACCCGCGAATGCCAAATGAAATTCAGAGTCTTTGAACACCAAATGATACGTAGTCACTTCATAGATATCAAGGTCTAAAAAATTGTCTAAATACCTCCATTTCACCGGGAACCGCCGTGCATGGCCTTGGGATCAGGTTGGTCCATCAGCGTTGCTGATTTGCCCATCAACCAGCACCTCAACATGGGTCAAAGGCCCGCAGGAAGGGGCAAAAACATGACGAAATCTACTGGCATTGTGGCCATTGTGGGCACAGCGTAAGTACAGCATGCTACAGCATTCTAACTGATATGGTATCATATGGAGCCATATAGTTGTTGTTGATTCTTCAAGAACGAGTATTGTTCATAGGTGCTAGTAGGAACCACCCACGTTCGATCCTTTATCTATCTAAGTCTATATGAGTGGCGGAAAATATTATTTACTACCCGAATGGACATGGCCAAAGCGGATGGTCCCGTATCGGCTGTGAAAGTTTATACTTCTATCCTATGTGTGAAAATAGGGTATCGGTAAGTGGGTGGTCCCCTATCGGTTGTAAAGGTTCTGGCACAAAATTGAACATCCCAAGTCCACTCACTACTTTAGTCTTCCACTAATTTTGTCGGTTACTCATATAAATCATTGGCTTTTTTGCCCCCCAATTTAGGTGTGGGTACCATGAAATCCGGGGTCGGGATTAACACACTAGCTATTCTTCCATGACAAGTCGATACAATTCGGGAGTCCAACAGAATCAACGGATATCAACAGAGAAATCCCTTAGCAATCCTGGAAACTTGCCCTTTGACCTGGGACGGACATCATTGGAAGGGTACAGGACTGCTGATCATTTGGATTCATTCACAATGGAGGCGCGTGTCTTCAATGAACAATTTGCAGAAGCGCTCGTTTCACCACCAGGGATTGCATCAATCATCAAGCATCAAAACATGTACATACATGATGTCTCATGATGTAATGTTATCTTTGTGACAAGAAAACAGGTACTCAACTTGCGGGACATCAAGAAATTGCATCTCATCTTCTATGCCCAAGCCCAAGCCCAATCCCAGCCATCGCCATGCGACATGTGCGAGTTGTTGTAGTGTGTGAAGAACTCACCTGGACGTGCCACGTGATGTCTGCCGCTGCTTTGGGCAACCCAAGAAATCCACACGTCAAGCTGGTGGTGAGGCAACATAGACCAACAAACGGTGATGCATGGGAAACATAGGTTTGAGCCATGCCATATCATACCATACTTATACCCGAACCTGTACCCTGAGCAAAAGAGTCTTTCCAAAGTGACCAGCTGGCAATAACTAGTGAATTTGTATGAATTTGTTGTGTACATAATCATATATGTGTATATTATATCATATTATATCTATCTATTATTTGCAAACAAGCTGGTAGCAGATGTAGTAGCACCTCCTTTCAAAATGGACCAACTGGGATCAACTGGGCGATAGCATTGGAGCCTACAGTACCGCATCCACAGTACGAGTATATACCGCAAGGTTTGATCAACAACCACGACAAACATATATCTGACATTATCTGACAATAATGTACCTGATAAAATGACATAAAAAAAATCATCCTCTGTGAATTTTAAAGGTCTCTGACATGTGCCAAGGAAAATCTGGACTCGGACCAGCATGGACCAGCAACAAATCTGGACGAATAAATGATTGGGTCATCCATCTGAAAAAATGTTTACCAGTTTCTGAAATCTACATGGTTATATGGGCTATATGGATCAAAATATGGATCAAAATATGGATCAAAATATGGATCAAAATCCCAGAAATCCTGTTTCCCGGGAATTCTCTTCATCCAGTGTTGGGAATACGGAATCCTAGATCGAAAGACCCATCTTCTCCCACATCGGTTTCATCTACCCAGGAGGGCACAGCTGAGACACATGTTGGTTCGAGCTGACACGCCTCGCAGGGATGGGTCGCAGCTGAGGTGGATAGAATATCAACGAATATCTACCCATTAACTACGTATAGTAACCAAGTTCTAGTATCATGTTCTATCCCCCATAAACTTTAACCCCAACCAAACCTGAGTCCGAGATTCATTACCTGTTTGGGATATAGATTTACCCAGTCCTCCGGGTCAACCTATTTCCCGTGCCGGCAACGGAAAACAAAGCTGGCAAGATGGGATTTGTTCAGTATTGTTCCATCCAACCTGCTGCCCAGTTCTATCACTTTGTATCAACTACAACATATCCCGGTCTGACAACATATCACCGGTTTTGATGGCTTTAACACCACATTTCTACCTGTCACCAAGCTGTGTTGAGCAGCCTTTGCCGCAATGCCCTTGGCAAACCTTCTCCCCCCGGATCTCCTTCTGGCAACTTGTGGCATCGAGCTCACGACCACTGGGTGATGTCACTTTCATGTCCTCAGATGGAATGGCCACATATGGGGATGGGTCAAAACCCTATCCCCCTGGTGAACATCAAAATAGCTGGTAAATGGATGTTCATCCCCCTAAAAATGGTATTAATAGGTATTGATCCATACCCATATCACCACAGGTCAGATTTTTTAACCCTGGAAAAAACAAGGCGAACAGCTCCCCACACGGTGCAGGCACGACAATGGCCAGAAAATGTGGAAGAAACAAAATAGAACCCGATACAGTGATACAATAACCATCAGTAACCTGACTGATGTGGATGAGGATAAGATGGATGAGGATAATGCTGATCATCGTGATGGTGGCTGGCGGCAAACAGGGTGAGTTACGCCGGGCATCGGTGTAGCCACGGCCTTCAAAAGCACATGGAGGTGCTCGCGCAGCACCTTTGGCTTTAGGAGGAGCGCTGAAGCCGTATGGCCGATGAAGGTCTCTTCCAATGTTGAGGGACTCATAAGGAAACGACGAACGGCTGGACATTTCAGGATGACCTAAAACCCATCCAATTTTAGGGATAAAGCTGTCCGATCTGGTAATCAATTATTTCTGATGCCCATCGATTTCATGACATGCAATTTACTTTCACTCCCACTGTCCCACAGCCTTGCACTGACAGCGCAACAATGGCCAAGCAGATCGTCTTTCCAGACATGGCAACCGGAGCAAAACTCTCAAAGATCGGTGGAAGGACTTTGTCACTGCTTGAGCAAAGGTCTGCACGACATGTTTTGGGGACGTTAGCGTTCACCATCCCAAGTTTTGCGGTTTTCGCTGCAACGGTTGATAGACAATTTTGATACAGTAAACATTATGTACTATATATATTATATATTATATATTATATATTATAAATATATTATATTATATATTATATACTATATATTATATATATAATATGTTATATATTTTATATTATATTATATATATATATTATATTATATATTTTATATTATATATTATATATCATATATCATATATTATATATTATATATTATATATTATATATTATATATTATATATTATGTAAATATTATATATTATGTAAATATTATATATTATGTATATATTATATATTATGTATATATTATATATTATGTATATATTATATATTATGTATATATTATAAATTATATATTATATATTATATATTATATATTATATATTATATATTATATATTATATATTATATATTATGTATATATTATACATTATATTATATTATATATTATATATTATATATTATATATTATATATTATATATTATGTATATATTATATATTATATATTATATATTATATATTAGATATTAGATATTATATATTATATATTATATATTATGTATATATTATATATTATATATCATATATTATTATATATTCTATATTATATATTATATATTATTATATATTATATATCATATATTATATATTATATATTATATATTATATAATTATATATGTGGCTCAAAATGGAATCCTTTGTCGCTTTCATCATCTTTCAGGCGCCTGTCAAAAGGCAACTGCGCTCTTTGGCAAAGAAGCTGAAAACGCTGCAAACCTCCTTAGTGCATCAAGCATCATCAAGCAATTTCTGCCAATCAAATCAAGAGAACTGTCCCATTTTCATGGGATAATCATGGGATGTTTCCATATTTTTCCCCAGTTTTGTTTCTGTTCTGGACCTCCAAAATGATGATCAATCCGGGCCTCATCCTGGGTCTCTAAGCATGCCATAGACTTTGGTATTTTGGTGTTTTTGTTGGGCTTCTAAAATGAGGTCATGAATTTCAGATGATTCAGTCATGATTCAGTCCCAATTCAGTTCCATGGGCCCATGGGATCATGGCACGCCTCACTGATAGCTTGATATATCTTGATATGGCTTATTCTTTATCGCATTTTTAAAAAAATGAAACTGTGGACTTGGCTAATTTGCCAAGGTCCTGACAGATGTAGCACAATCTTTCTGGCAATCTCTGGCACTGTCCGCGATCACTCTCTCCTACGGCAAGTGTCGGGGCGGCCAAGGAGTGGTCGCTGCTAAATGCTAAACATGTCGACAACGAGTTCATGGCAGACCCATTGCTGTGGTGCTCAACTAGTTACTGACTAGTTCAACTCCTTCCATCAGGCACAACAAAAAGAGGTACCTCCGCAGCTACGGGTTTGCTGGCGGTGTCCTGCTCTTCAGAGAAGTACTCGGTATTTTCCTGCGAAGGCAGCAGTTGAAATTCACGGCACCTCTAAATCCAAGAAACTCAAGTGTGGAACTGTACCACACAGGGTGTCATATACATCATTTTAACAACATCTTCCACATCCATTTCCACCTTGCTGTCCAGGTGCTTCGTACAGTATCTATTTATCATTATTTATCTATCTATTCTATGTCGGCATAATCTAATCTAAATCTATCTACATTCATTTATATGTTATTGTATTATACCATATTGTATCTACATGAAGGATTCCTTGACACCCGCTCTTTGACAAGGACCTTCTCGAAGTACGAGTCTAGGCAGCCGACCAGAAAGCATTCCAAATCGGCTTCAAAGACCATGCGCAACGGGAACCCAGCCTGGTCACACGGTGATCCGCAACCCCTTGGGCATCAATCATCCGCTTCCCAAAAACATGGATGGTTCAACAGTCGACATGATCCCAACCAACTGGATAATTGAATCATTGAACCATCTGTTTATCCAGAAAAATTCAAATGGGGGTTTCCATAAATGGGTATACCCCAAAATGGAAGGTTTATCATGGAAAATCCTTTAAAAAAATATTTAAAAAATGATGATATGGGGTACCCCTATTGTAGGAGACCTCCAAATAATATCTAGACAAATAGTTTTCTGGAGGATTTTCACGCGAAAAGGCCCAACTGACTTCATCCTTCATCAGTTACCGCAGGCCGCCTCGAAATCTGTGGCTCCATGCTCCACGGTGTACCTTGGATGACTAATGAGCCACCACCCCGGGGCGAATGGATTGAATGGATCACAAGACACCCTGTTACATCCTTCTTTTGGCAACCCCAATATTCTAATAGAAAAGTCAAATCCTAAGTTAAACAGTCGTGAATCATGTGTCCACCTTTTCTGGGGGTACCATAAATCTGGAAGCATCCACCCTTCCAAGATAGGTCTGGTTAGGTTTTTCTAAGACGAGCTCAAGATTTTCTCGCGCCAATCTCAGCCATGTGGCGGTATATTCAAGGACAGCAACAACTCCGAAACCTTGCAGGTCGATGCAGGTCGCATCAGAGGATGCGACCTGCTTCTCATCTCTGTCTGGTTCTTTGAGCTTTGCCAAATGGGGATGGGTCAAAACCAATAGTACCCCTGGTGAACATCAAAATAGCTGGTAAATGGATGTTCATCCCCCTAAAAATGGTATTAATAGGTATTGATCCATAGCCAAATGGAGAGTTCTTGAAATAAGGGACCCCAAGTTCAGAGTTCCGCCTTCTGCCGGAGCTGAAGGTTCTTTCCATGATCTGATTTTTGAGCAATGTCTGCAACTGCCTCGGTACAAAGAGAAACCAATGTGGGGATGTGTCAAAACTCTGTACCCCTAAATTCACGTCAAATGGAAAATGGATATTCATCAACCCAAAATATGTACAAATACGTTAGTTCGTAGGTTTTGATCCGTGGCAGTTGGCTCTTTCTTGCAGCCAGCCATCACATTTTCGGACGCCAAGCCCCCAACAATTCCAGCAGGCAGAAGGACCTGCAACTGGACTCAGTGGTGGTCCAAGCCTCCGTCTGTATGTGCCTTTCCCTATAAGAAATCGATTAAATTGATGGATTCCCATATCCTGTCTTTTGTAATTACTTGTGCTTGAAGAGTACGGCAAATCTTCTGTACATAGGTTTGTCTCAAAATGGATCGAACCCGCCCACCTCATTTCTAAGCCATTTATAAGAAATTGAAGAGTGAAGCTTTAAACAAAATCCAAATAAGAATTCAGACAGCTACCGGGGTCTAGTATTATCAATGGGTGGATTTTAACAAGAAAAGTACTTCTGAAAACCATGGTTTTTGGCTTTCCCTCATTCCGCCTTGCCCTCCACCAGCAAACTGCCCGGCAGAAGGGTGACAGCACTAGGATGGCCCTCCACATCCTGCACCTGGGAAAACTTCGCAGCTGCCCCAGTTGCTGTTTGTTCAACAAGAATGGGATGGATTTCGCACTTTGGTAGCAATATGTATGTGTATTAATATATATATATATATGTACATATACATATGTGTTTGTATGTGTATACTGTATACATATATATATGTACATATACATATGTGTTTGTGTATATATATATATACATATATATTTGGCATATAGCCAAGAAAAGAGTTTCCCGTCATTTTATGGCTATGTGAACGGGGAAATTATGATAAACAATGAGGTTTGTTTGCAGGGTATGGATCAAAAATATTCCAAAGGGGGAGGACCAATTGACTGACGAATGGCTGGTCATTTTTGAAATATTAAAACCACCATTTTGGGCGCTCCATACTGATTTGTTGGTTCAAACTACAGCGCAGCTCTCTGCTCATGACAAAAAGTGTTCGATTGAGACCTTCCTTGAGGAATTGAAGAATGTTGAATATTGAAGACGATTGAACGACAGAACCAAACTCGAAAAACTTACTAGATCTCCCCAAGAATAAAAGAATATGAAAGATCAACGTCGCTTTGCAACCCAGCACGGTAGCTTGCACACCGGCGCTCCGGCGCCTTGGAGACCGGCACCTCCCAGTGTTGAGCCAAAGCAGCTGGAAGACCTTGACTCGTTAACTCCGAAAATCTCTGGTTTTGACCGGTTTGGCTCCTTTGGTTCGTTTGGTGGGAGATGGACCCATGGTGACCCATAACTTTTTTGAAAAATCAGAGACACTGAGGTCTGATTCATGAGAAAAGCCCGTGATTTTGGGACACACCCGGAGACGGAAACAACCACTTCTGACTGGGGCCGCCGCAACCCTTCAACTCCCAAATGCTGTCAATGTTTTGGAGTTAAGCTTCCCACTGGCATGCAGATTCTTCAACTGCAACTCGGAGAGTTGCCTAAAGTCCTGATGCCAAGGCCAGACCAGATTCTTGTCCCTTGCAGCACCTCTGAAAAAAAGATAAATTGCTTCTCATCCCAACAGATTCCAGAGCACTGAGGGGCAGACCACTGAGGCTATGTGGGCCTAAAGCTACCAAATTTTGATTGGATAAATCCATGGGTAGATAAGATTTACAACTCTACACTTCATGAACTTCGCCCACCTCGAAACGAGCAACGCAACGCGGCGGGCCAGCCAGTGCCTTCGGTTCAAGCTGCTTGAAGTCACAACCGTCCCCCAAGGGAAGCGGACATGACTTTCCTCACAGTTCCACGTGGCAACCTCTGGATCGGCGTTGCTCTTGGCTGTGGTGGGGTGCAGCTGGCAGAGTTTTGTGCTCCTTGCCAGGGCCAGATTGGTGCACCGGACGTGGCAACATTGACCATAGGGGACACAAGCAAGATTACTGTTAGGGCACATGGGCATAAGCGGCATGAAGCTCAAAAGTTGTGCAACGCCAGACCCTTATGACGCTGGCCGTGTTTGGCATTGAATCATACAATTTGCTGGCCATTTTGAGCCATACCCATGTCAACCAACAAAGAATGGGACAACCTCGTAAATCGCAAAAAGAAATGCTGTCCAAATATCCCCTGGGAATTCCATGGCCAAACCCCGGGGTGACTCCATTAGAGGAAATTCCAGGAAATGATACGATAAACTCCAGCCCAAATGGGTTTGTCTGAAAATAGTTAAAAATAGAGGATATACAAGTAGCTCGAAAAATCACTGGTGAATCATCATTTTCCCAAAATTTTCCACGTATTTAAATTTAAAATGGCACTTAAAATGGCCATCCTTTTTATTGGAGGAAATCCGGAGGAAAATTACCGGCCTCCAAAAGGTGAAAAAGCCACAGCCCATCACCTGGCGACATCTGGCCTCAACTTGGGCCAAGTTGAATCGGATGTCAACATCTTGAAACATGTCGTGAATGTCCGACAATCATATCCTGAAAAAACTTAATATAGATATACTACAGAAAACATTACAGTAAAAAAATTACACCCCCATGTAACAGTAATTAATCTATATATATATATATTTACCAATGTCTGCCTACTGTCGTCACCAAGAAATCCGGCACTTTTTGGCCAGAATTCAATGTGTCTCACTGAGAATGTCACTTGGCAACCAGCAATCCCTTCCTCCAGGCAAGATCAGGCGAGTGTCTATGAAGTCAATGTGTTGGAATCATCAGAAGGCTCGGGGTCCTCGTGGCTTTCTTTGAAACCAGGAAGAAGAGGTGAAAAAGCCTCCGAAGTTCCATAATTGGCAAAGTTGTTTGTCAACAAACACACTTTTCGGTCGTCGCCGTCAAAGCATGCCAGGCAAACAACTCCAGAAAATGGACACCTCAGGTGCCGATCAGCAACACGATCTCTTGGGTGATCCCAAATGTTGTGTTTTTCCGAAATTGGTCAAGTTCCCCTCCAACTGAACTCACACCATTTGTCACCCCTAAAAAAAAGACTAGAAGTTGGGTCTATCCATGGTCCATGGTCCATGGTCCTATCCATTTCCAAAGCATGGGCATGGATCCACGTGGCTCATGCAATCCATGCTGGGGTCCCAACCTGGCGCCATTGGCATCATCTGAAACCTTCAAAAATAGAAGGGATCGGCTGAGGGGGGTCCCTGCTAGGAATATGGGTCAAAATGACAGGCCCTGGAAGCCACAAAATGTTGGGCATTTTTGAATGCTAAACAAACCATTTGGGTCCTGCAGCCAAGTTTTTGCTCTCCCAACCTCCCAACCATAGTGGGGCGGCAATGTAGTACTGAGCTTGGCATTGGCATGCGGGCTACCCGGCGCAGCCTGGAGCCAGGAAACTTCAGTGAGTCCTTCCATTTTTGAGGTCCCGTTTTCTCTGATGAAAAATCTACATCCAATCCGCGCCCCAACCTGGGGAGATTTCTCCGGCGCGCCCTGGCAACCTGGTGTGAGACTCATGGACTCCCTGGAGCAAAGCTCCTCAAGCAGAGTGGATACATTTGCAACATGGTGAGATATGGTGAGATATGGTGAGTACCAATCCATTGCGTGTATGTTGTGACGTGTATCAGTGTCTTTTTCTTAACATCATACATACTGAGTACATATATATATATAATTCAATATGAATTGTGAATATGTGCATATATATATATATAACTTGTTATATCGGATGTATAATTCATGCCCAAAATGTCTACATTTTCGCGCTTCAAAAATGAAAACGTGCCCTTGCTGCATGCTCTCCTGTACTGTAATACCAGCAATGCAGGACAAGCATTCAGCGGACCTGATGTTGCTCAAAGCATCCAATTTGCATAGGTAAAGATCGACTACCCTGAGCTCCCAACACTTCATAGCAACACTGCTGACTCGCCTCATCACGAAAAAAAACGAAAACACCCCCAAAAAAAATCCAAGAACTTTCGGCCAAAAACTGAAATGTCACTGAGCCCAGACACTGAAACTGCCGTTGCGGAGATCTCTGTGGTGCTGCTCCAGGAAGTCCAGGTAGTCCGGGTGGATGTGGAGCTGGTTGAGGTCGCAGCGGTCGCACTGGTGAAGGTAGTGGAGCTGCTGAACGCAGCGGAGGTCGTTGATGCACCTGGCCATGGCTAGCCCCACGGTGAACGCGGGTCTTTCCTAGCGCACAATAACCCTTGTTCTTGAAATGCATAGAATATAGCCTTAATCATTCATTTTAACACCTCTCATTCTAACACCATTCTAACACCTCACATCGATTGTAAATGCAGAGATTCATCAAACTGGTATTTCCTTTTTCGAGAACCTTTTTCTGAGAGCATGAAGACAAATGAGGCAAACAGGCAAAATGACAGCAGCATTGAATTGAGACTTTGCTTGTATCATCTTCTGTTCAAAATATATCAGGAGTGAGCCATGGTGAACGATGCCTGGAATTGGATGTGTATCCGTGTATCCGAGAAAAAAAAAAAGCAATTTAGTAGGAAAAAAAATTAGGGGTACCGGGGTACCCATCAGACAAACCCAATTTAGGTTTCAAGATTTTCAAGGAAAATTGAGAGGTTCAGACCAAAAAACCGTCATTGACGTATTTTTTGGGGGGCCTGCTGGTCCACTCATTTTTCCGTCAAATCGATCCATTGAAACATGATTTCCAGGCTAAGACTCCCCACTGGGCGTTGGAGTGTTGTGGCCTCGACCGCGCACCAACTCTGACTATATCAATGGAAGAAAACCAGACTACCCTTTGGGTGACCAGCAAGAAACAAATGGACAAGTATGGAAAAGAGTCAGTCATGACCAAAAAAAACAATCAAAGTAGATGGTCTACCTGGTCAGCTGGTTGAAGCTGCTTGAGGCTATCACAAAGGCGAAAGAGTGACGCGAACTCGGGCCTGAGTTGCTGTCACACTGCAATGTGGCAACCAATCTGTTGGATGGTCACAAATTCACATATTACTGAAGCCGGATTTCATGTTGACCATAGATAATCAAACATGTTGTGGATGGATGGATGTACCAAGCTGGAACCTTTCAGCCTGAGAAAATCAGGGCCCAGACTCACTGATCAATCCATTGGCATCCACGTCCAAGAAGTGGAAGGATCCCGAACTGGAGGGTTTCCTGAGACGAAAGATCGACTGCCGCACGTTGATACTGATTTTTAACATCCTGTAATCAACCCGATAGAAATAGATGTAGAAATAGAAGTGGATTGATAGCGATTCCTCCCCAGTTATGATCATCCACCAGCAGCACCATGCAAAATTCATCCAACTGGCTCAAGTCGTCAGCCAAGAATCGAGAAATCAAACGGAGGCGTATAGCTCGCCCAAATTGAAGACCAACTGTGCAGACAGGCCGCAGTAGGGCTGCAAAAGGTGACTTGCTATCCCAACACCCCAGATGCAAGGAATGTTTAATGGCTAGTTAAAGAGGTAAAATGACCCATTTCCCTCCCTTGTGGCCATGATTCACTTCTGGAGTGGAGCAACCCTGACTATGCACTTCGGGCAGGAATCTTACAAGGTCCTGGAGGACCGTTGCAAGGACAAACAAAAACATGGGCATGGACACATATATGAAAACTATAAAACCTATGGCTTGGCAATGCTTCATTACGTTTCGGCCTAGAACGATTGAGAGCTTGCTCGGTACCAGCTGTTGCGACCTCAAATACAGCCAGCTGGAAAACAACCATGAAACTCTGTTGATATACTTGGTCCGGCTCAAATAAGTAGGAGCCTCACCATGTGTCTCTTCTACATGTGTGGTAAAAGGATGCAAAAATCATCATCTGATAAGACGCTTGTCGCTGAGCTGACTACCCACGCTTGGCTGGTATTCCAAAAGCGCTCATGTAGAAACCTGGCATCGCTTCATCGACCCTGGCAATCAAAACGGCTCTCCAGGTCTCTCCGCAACCGGCCACGCTAGGCCCGCGGCACACAAAAGGGAAAGATGGCAAGTTCCTGCAGGTCCAACCCATGATGGATAGCCCCAAAATGGCACAACATGGCACAACTTTACTTCGAAGATGATGGAAAATTATCATGAACCATCAAATTTAGTGACTTTAGTGACTTTAGTGGTTTTCCCTCGTAATTTTCAGACGGTGAAGTTGGCTTCACAGGTCCGTCGCAGCCAAATTGAAAGCCACCGTGAACTCCGGCTTCGACACCAAGTTGTCCTCTGGGGATGCGGCAGTAAACTGATTGATGGCTGAGGCACCTCTAAGTACCTATCTAATAGGTTTGAAAATCTATATGAAAGCACCAAACTCAACACATGTTCCAGCTGACCAAGTTCAGTTGCAGTCCTCCAGCTCAAGTTTGTCAACGTATTTGAAGGTCAGTGCCGCCTCAGTCGCCGACGTGGACGCCACCGCCGAGTCGTTCTTCAACTGGTGTTGCTCGTCCAACCACCTGTCTCAATGGATTGGTGCAAGGAGGAAATCTACAGGAAACCATGGTTTTTACTGTACCAACCAACTGTATAACTTCTGTTTCCTGCAAATTCTCCTTTCAACCAAGTCTGGGACTCTCCAAATCAATGTATCTCCTCATATTTCAATAAACCCAAGGTAAATTTCACCGTTCTCTATTATTTGCCTCTTGGAAAAATCGCGCCTCCTTTTCATCTGAACATATCTGAACAGTGTTTGAAACCCCCTCTCAGGCTTTTTTCAGCTTGGTTCATGGGGTTTTGAGTTGGGTCACAACCATCATGATTAAACCAGATCATGTGGTATTACCTGGTAAACTTGGTAAACCCCATTGGTAAAACCCATGCCCAAACGGTTGGTTTCTCTCCATAAAAGCCTGGGCCACAACTCGTCCCAGGCCGAGGGATGCAAGACATCAACCTGAGCGATGGGAAAATCTTCAGGAAACCGTAGGTTTCTCCCCTGTTTTCCACAAGATACGCCCAAATATTTAAGAATTCGAGAGATTCTTAGAGGAGTTTCCCTAATAATTTGTCCAAACAAAAATCAAAAGCTTGGGCTGGCACGGCTCTTCCATTCTGGACAATTTGTACAGAAAGGTTGCTGCATTCAGCATCCCATGCGCCTGGGCCGAAGGACGCTGAGACACTGAGATATCCATCTGGCTATGGCTCAAAATTGAGCATACCCCAAAAAAATATGATCAATTGTCAATGATAATAATAATTATAAAGGATAAATATATAGATATTATATTGTATCATATCATATTATATTATATTGTATTATATTATATTATAATTATAGTTATAATTTTATTATATTACATTATGATTATATCATATCATATTATATTATATTATATTATATTTATCAATTATATTTACTGTACCATATTTTACCCGTGAAAGTTGCCATTTGGGGCATCCCCCCTCTTTTGGACATACCAATCTGCGTGATGAAGGCTGTGATCCCAAACTGCAACTGAGTCCAACACCATCCGCTGTGTCATATTGTGAAGATATCCACGCACTCCAATTGAAAACAAGGTGACGGGCCGCTTGCGGGGAATTCCTGGGTGAATCTAAACTGACATGAAGCAGGTGTATCAAATATGTATCAAATATCAGATTGAAAGTGCACATGAATGAGCTGTGACTCAAAGCAATTTGTGCAGAAGAGGTTCGAAACGTTCAGATTCAAGGCGCTCATTCGCCATGGACCACAGCCAAAACGTGCAAGGTGAATTTTCAAAAGCTGCTTGATCATGCTTGATCCCTTTTTCTTTATCGGAGCTCTTCCGAACAGTTCTACGTTGTGCAAAGGCGCTGGAAGATGGAAGTACACCCGAACAGCAACAAACCATGGTTTTGCTGGCACTCCTTTCGGAAGTCCCGGAGACATGGCACCAGGCTTAGAGCATGTGGGTTGCTACCGATGTGGTGGTTTTGTTGTCTGCGCATCCAAGAAATGGAGCATCAATTGAGCATCAAGCCAGTCCGTGAAACCTCACATTGGTACGGACTCGAAAATGGGGTGCCAAACAAACAGCTTGTGATTTGCATGAAAAAGACTCGGTGGCACACCCACAATTCACGTTGGTCAAATCTTCCCTAGCTTCTGTTGACTAGGTCCCCATGTTTGTTGTCTTGTTGAATCCATATTCCCCATGGTTAGATTAAAATGTCTGTTGGTTGAACCCAATGCGACAGACATCCGAAGGCCTTCAATGACGAAGTGGTTTGTCAGAAGATAGGGTAGCCCTAAATTTCATGGTTGATCAGATCATCATTTTCCCTATCAAAATTGCCACAAACATCGGTACATCTCCCCGTTTTCAGTGCCGACCGTCGCCGCCCTTCTGCCTTTTTTCTAAGTCGTTGGGGCAAGAGGGTCATCGAGACCCTTGTACTCGGGGCCCATGATGGCTGGTGGCTGGCCACGTTCAATGCTTTCGATCTCGGGACAGAAAAAAATCCCAGGTGCAGCAAACAAGCATTGGGGGCTTAAGCAACAAAAATTGGAATCTAACAGTATACATCAGTATATACATCAATGGATATCATGGGAATTCATGTCACAGAAATAACTCGCACGGCAAACCAATGGGTTCGGAACAAAATTGGGGGGTACCCCGCAAATAGTGAGTGTGATGGGGAGAATGATGATACACCACTTCATTTGTGCAATCGAAATTTTTGAGACAACCCCACAAACGTATACCACAAGGCAGGCATCATGTATCATTTGCAATTTGCAGCACCTGTCTTGCTCTTGAACCTGTGCTGGAACTAAGGTTTCCGGGGCTCCGGCATCCATCTTCAGCTTTGCAAGGTCATGCCTGGTGATGCATCTCCCGCTCTAAAAATAATGGAGTCATTCACCTCAACATCCACTGGGTTTGTCTTCACTTTGCCCATGAAAATAGCAATTTGAGGGTATGTCCCCAATGAATCACAGTCGTCATAGTAGTAAATGTAGTAATATGTAATAATACGATGTAATACGTAGTAGTAATGTATAGTAATCCCATAGTTTCACAGAAATCCCAACAAATCATCAAAATCATCCCATGAAAACTCCCTTGGCCCGGCCACGGCCGCGTCGCGTCGCGTTGCATCTGCCTGACACTGCTGAGTGGCGCATGTTGCGCCCAGCTCCTGCGCCAGTTCCTCAAGCTGCCCTGCTGCATGTTTTCGCTGTTGCAGATGACACCTGGAACGGCCGGGAGCAAAGCCGGCCCGCTTGGCAACTGGAGACTACCAGTAAAGGACAGGAGCTATTTTTCATGAATGCAAAATATCAGGTAAAAATAAGAGGTGCCACCATTGTTGTAGATGGGATCCACCATTTCCTAACCCCTCCGGAAGCAAACGGGGAACGGAGTTGAAGCTAAGAGCGAAAAGATAAGAGTGACAAGAGTGATAAGTTTGTCCCCATGCCCAATGAATCCAAATGAGTAAGAGATAGTAAGAGTAAGTACAATCGAAATATGCCTGGATGGATTGGCACCATTGGCATCTGCGAATCTTAGCCAAGTGGCATTCAAGCGCAGCCTCCCATGTTCTCATGCCACCACAAGATCTCACAAACCTTGGAAAAAATGGAACGTGTGTGGTCCCAGAAATAAAAAATGGATAAAAATGGAAACCATGGGAAAACATATTCAGAAAGAGGAGGACTTAGGAATGACTTAGGTACTTTTCAATAATGGGCACCAGAAACATCACATGGTTTCCAAATGCTAAAACATTCAACCAAGTCCAAGTGTGCGAGCTCTTCACAGCACAAGAAACCAAGTCACTTTGGTGTTTCTCTAAATTGGTGACCACCAAAAAATCAGGAAATTGAAACTGATGGTTTCGGGGATCCCCAAGTCGAAGAACTTCCCCAAGTCCAATCCAAGAAACGGCAGAGATCTGCATGGCTTCCCTGGGTGCAAAACCAACACCAAAGGATTCCAATTACCCAAACCAAAGAATGGGAAATTGGAACCACCAAAATCGAAGCACATCCAGCAATTTTACCAACATAATCTGCGTAGAGGGGGGGTAGATGGGGGGTAGATGGGGGGTAGATGGGGGCTAGCACATTTGAGGCCTTGGAAGCAACGATGTTTCGGGCCTCGAACCAACTGGCCCCCACAGCGGTGTTCTTTGACACGATTCCGCGGAGGCAAATTTTTGTAACGGCGAAGATCCAGCAAGGCGGCGCGCCCTGAGACATGGATGTCTGGTCAAAGAGAAAATGCAGACAGCAACAGAAAGAATTGAAAAGGAATGAAAGGAATGCATATATTAGAGGAAAGTTAGATACTGTTCATCAATGTTCATCAATTTAAAAAATTGCAACTGCATTGTGGAGTTTAGCCTGTTTAGCCTGTTTAGCAACAAACATAAAGATATCTGACATCGCATGAAAAGCCTGGCTATGGCGGTCATGAATTACTGCACCGTTTCACCACTGGCTTGGGGAGCCGTCTAGCCTTGACCCTGCCTGCCAATGTGTAAGGATGTTGGCAAGTTGTATCCTCCACTTCTCCTTTCAAAGGGCCAGCATTCAACTTTGGAAGTGGCCTTGCACGGGACATGAAGACAGAGCAAGTGCTGAGGTGCGACTCAAGCAGACTTGCATTCGCAATGTTGGTCGGTTAGCTCCCATCTTTTGTCAAAGTCCTCATGTCTATAGCAGTCTATGGTTGTATCATGGTGTATCCATATTTCAGCATGTCTCTTTAACTATCCAGCAAACGAACCGCTCCAGGAAACCACTGTCGTAGCTGCCTGGTCGTGGGTCGCTGTCGAAGCTTGCGGTCTTCGAAACCAGGGAAGGATGGACTTACCAAAACCAGGTTATGGTTCATCTGAAGAGCTTGTATAGCATCCTGGCCAAGTCCAAAGCAATTTTGTGTCGATTGAAACATCTCGAATTTCAGCCAATCAACTTGAGACAAGTCCAGTCACATATTTCAGTCAATCATCGAACGGACACTGGATGGTTGAAAAACATCGAAGCTCCAGCAGCACTGTCCTCAATCCAGGAAACGTTTGGAGCAGAATACATGATCCTCAGTTCTCCACTCCCACACCTGAAAGACCACTGTTCTTTCCAAATCTTCTGGGCAAAACTATGGAGAGCCAGAAATCAGCGAGGAAGCAACTTGATCAGATAGCGGCCAAAATGAAGCAATAGTTTTTGCATGCGACATCGTTGTTATACTTGTGTGGGAGGAAATGGTATGCCCCAAAGATTGTGAAAGCGGAAATATCCAAAATCTGTCAACCGCATGGCCGTTTTTGAGCCTATTCCCGACAGGGAACTGATCCAGTTGGATGATAGCCAGGTAGTCCGCAGAGCACCGATCGACGGCAAAGTAAAACGCCAGTTGCACATCTTCCGTCTGCGAGTCGTCAAAGGAAATTCCATGACCATTGGATTGTCGGCCCCGTGCGGGGATCTCCCACTCAGCAGTTTCATTCACACCTGGAGCATTTGGATATGACAAAAGGGGGCTGTCAACTCTTGGCAAAGTTTATACTGTACAAAAGGGGTGCACTTCGACCTAATAAATAATATAAATATTTATCAGTGTAGTGTGTAGATGAACACATATTAGGGGTTGTGTTCCGAGTTATGGGGATTACTGCCATGGTGACACGCATCAAAGTACGCATGCACCGGCAAAAACAATGTAGTTTGAGGAGGGAATAAAAGGCAACCAACGCCTTGGCAACGTCTTCACTCAGAACATATGAAACGTGCAGAACTCAACATGACTCTTTGGCAACCCAGCTATAAGATTGCGAAGCAACCAAACGCCATAGGCAGAAGCCAGATAAACAGTGTGAACGTCTTCATTTTTGGTAGAATATTGTTTTTATCCAAATCAAAATTGATTGGTCTGTTAGAACAGCCAGCGAATTTCCACTGCACTTCACCCCTTTCTGGCCAAAAGACGTAGCATGTACTCTTGAGAATGATCCACTGTCATCCAGGTGTCCACTGCACGCTGCTTGACCAGAGAGTCCGCAAGCGATTGGAGTTGAGGTTGGAATTCCGCACCTGCAGTGAACATTCAAGCTACTCTGTCACTCAGGTCAAAAATGTCAACCTTGCATTGGGATAAGGGAACCAAAGGGAATGGCCACTACATTCTACATGATGAGTTCAATGGTATTTAAATGTATTTGAATGTATTTGAGGCGTCCAAGTCCCTTCACGGTTCTCTATCTCAACCCTCAGGAGTTGCGTTCCTGAGAATGATCAAAACTAGTCAGTATCTAGTGAATCTAGAACATGTCCAAACCAGAGCTCCAGAATGACCGCTGCATTTCTGCCATTTTGCAAGCAGCTCTTGTCTGGAACGAGACCGTGGGTCCCACAAACCACTTCAACATGACCCCCTTGTCCAGCCTGCCATGTCCTGGGCAATGCCGCCAGCATGAAATTGGGCGAACAAAATTGGTAGTTTCAACTAGTTTCAACACATTCCAAAAGCACCCAAACACATTCTATAGTCAGCTAGCAGCCAGGATAACAGTGATAATCGTGATAACATGAAAGACTAGCCACCAGTTATGTGAAGTTGGTTTGTCACAAATTCATGGCTGCCGTTGGGCCCGAAGACTGTGAATCGCCAAGGTGCCAAAACCAAATAGCGATGAGCAAAGTCGTAGTGCTGCATCTTGCTCAAATGCAGCACCTTATCGTGGGTGAACCTTCAACCATCCAACAATTAAGAAAACCTAGGCCACGTCACCATACAGGTAATACAGGATGGTATAGGACTAACCCAAAATATCCCAAAATGACCTGATTGATTTTGCTTCATTTTACCGTCCCTTGTTGTGCGTCCATGGCACCCTGAGGCCGATGTCCTCCAGGTTGCTCTGCGCCACCAATGCTAAACAGCATTGGTGAGGTGGTGCCACGACATCCATCGCCTCGGCTATGGCTATGGCTATGGCGGAACCATTCGCTTGGTAGGTAGCCCGAAGATCATCTAAGATGCCTTTTTATTTTACTTAGCTACTTCCCATGTTTTGCCAACCCAGAGTTCCCTTTCTAGACGGCCCCGCCTCCATCTCTTGCTCTGGAGTGATTTGGTCGGGTGCCTGACCAGAGCTCACACACGCAAAGATCAACTGTGTCTTGGGACGTGGCTACCTGGTATGGCTCTAGAAGTTGGGTTTAGTGCTCCCTGTGACTGAAGGTCAACTTTGAGAAGCCGCGCAGGAAGCCTCTACAGTCGACTGATATATGGACTATGGACGTTTCAAACCAAGTGTTCGGAGAGGACAATTTCATTGGTGTCGGCAGCTGCTTAGCCCTCAAATTCTGGTTGCCTTGATCAATAAAAGCAGGCCTTTCCGTGCCAAAAAAGGCTTACTGGAAGCATAGTTGTGAGCAATGCTTGGACTGCCCAAAGGCGGCTTCACCAGTTGCTACCCAGTTGAACCCAGGTGGCACCCAGGTGTTGCCCAAAATTTCGCCACGCCTTGACGTTGGATTCCACCCTGGCACCTGTCTGGGGATCAGGACACAGAATGGACAGTGGAACTCGATGCGGTTGAAGGATGAATGAAATGTGGTGTTAATATGTGTTATGATGAAAGTCTGCAAATGGGTACAGCAGTAAGGTTGGCATAATGCATTCCGTATTCCTGTGAAACCCCAACGGATCTAAAACGTTGATGTCATGACTACCACGAGCCTCCACGTTGAACAAGAACCTTAGACTTCAGTCCAAAACAAAATAGAACAAACACATCCAAGAGTTACCGCATGTTGCTTGAGCTGCTTCGCATGCTTCATGCTGCTGCATCACCTGGTCATCTGCTACCAAGAAGCGTTGACACCAACGCAAGCCATGGCAGCGCAAAAGAAAAGTCCACTCCAAGTCCGGAAGCTGGATGGACAGGATGGACATTGCACCATCTGACTCCGAACATTGAGAAAGGACTACACAAAGATGGACACAACTGGAATTGTGCAGCTATTTCACAACGCATTGTGCATGAGGAAAATTCATAATGCTTAAGATACATTGTTCAAGTGACAGAGTCAAGTGAGACTCCTCCAAACAAAGAAAAGCATGTCTGCAAACAACACTCTGCAAACAAGCATGATTTCAAACCAGAGCCTTCTGTAGCCTTCTACTAGGACTGGACACATTGTTCTTTCTACCTTGCATTTCGGCGATTCGGTTATAACTAAATGCAAATGTTCGTCGTGTTCGTCCGACTTGGCTTGACTATAAGTTTGGACTGCGCTCACTGGCAAGCTGCTTGAGAAACAGCGAGGACCATCGCCATGACACGATAAGTGTGTGGACAAAATCGGTTTCACTTCATGGGATGAGACCATCGTTTTGTACATCCTTGGTTCCCTACTCTCCAATTCATGACCTAACAGAACTAACAATCCAACCGTCGCAGTGAGTACGTCAGCAAACCCTGGCGTTGATCATTCCAAAAGAACTCAGCTACTGTACATAGACCAATAACTTCATTTTCCGCGCCGTCCCCAGTTCCCCAGCGACGCTTCGCGTCTAACATCCAAACACCCAGCCATGGGCAGGGCAAAACTTGCGACATGTCACTTAAAGCGACCGTCCCTTTGACCCAACCGGTTTCCAGCACCAACGAGCCGTAAGGAGTCCTGAGGCAGGCTCATTGAAGCCCATCTGAGCCGGAAGATCGCGAGGGTTCAAGGTCCTCTGGCGGTGGCTCTAACTTGTGGACGTTTCGGATGTGGCGTCGCAAGACATTTTTGTACGCAAAGTCCTTTTGGCAGTGACGACATTTGAAGTCCTTCATCTGCTGATGGACCACCCGGAAGTGGAGCTTCATGGCAGGCCGTGACATGAAGGTGAAGTCGCAACCGACATGTGGGCAACGGACAACCACATCATCGTGTGCTGCATTCTTGTGACGTTTCAGCTGATCAGAGCTTTTGTAGACCAAGCCACACTTCTCACATGCATAGGTCTTTGGATGTTTGGCCTTGCGATGCCGAACCATGTCAAGGAACGTGCTGAAAGTCTCATCACAGCTGTTGCACTTGTACTTCTTGTCCTTCTTTCCATGCTGGGCTTCGATATGTCTCAGCAACTGCCTGTAGTTGGCATATTCCTTACCACACTCAGGACAAATGCCAGGAGCCACTTTTTCCCCTGCTACAGCATTGGGGTGCACCAGCTTCCAGTGGTTCTCAAGCTTGGACTTCTTGCGAAAGCGAAGACCGCAGGCCTCACAGGTGAGGCCATTGTGAGCAAACTTCACATGGTTCATCAAATCGCATTTCCGCGCGAAGGTCTTCCCACAGCAGGCGCTGGCCACACACCGAAAAGGCTTCACCGCAAGGTGAACCGCCTGATGGTCCTGCAAATCCACCTTCCTCTTGTAGGATTTCTCGCAACCAGGGTGATCACACTTGAACTTCCGTTCCGCCGTGTGAAAGTAGACGTGTTTGTGATACCTGGTACTCGTGGGAAAGGACTTGCCACAATGGGGACAGGACCTTGGATATTGAATCCGTTCCTTCCTTTCCTTCGGTTCCTTCGGTTCCTTTGGACCCGGTTCTCGGCGCTTTCGCTTCTTGCCTTCATCCGCCCGAACTGGAGGATCGGGTGCCGGCTCAGGGGCCGTCATCGTTTGGGCTGGATGGCCATGTCGACTTGTTCCAAAAAATTGAACAAAGCCATGTGTGTGATTATAATATATCATAACTAACTGTACATACTGTAAATCAATGTAAATCATATGTGCATACACACTTTACAAAGAAATCATGTGGAATATTCGATGCCAGTTTAGGACCTGTCCACCATTCTATGTTTGGCTCAATCTTGTGGAGTTCTGGTCAATCCTATGGTTCTTACTGCTTTTGAATGGTCGGCTGCATGGTATGAGTTTCCTTGCTTTGAAAAGCGATGTCCCTGAGGGACCTTGAGACCAACCCGGGGAAACCCAGGGACACAGAGGATCACATTGCAAATTGACACATTGAAAATCTAAGATCAATGAAAGCCCAGATGTCTACCAGCATTGCCAACAGGAAAGTCAGAACACGTTCGAAGCGTTTTACCTCAACTTGGAATTGGTTTCCAACCTTGGAGTGAAACTCATCAGCGCAGCTGTCCACTTCGTGAGTCAACACAACGATGGCATCTGTGGATTCCCTGCATCCATAGCAACCTCCACGCTGGCCATCGCCATCAAGGGCCCAAAACATGTCGCACGTCGCACGTCGGAGTCCATCGCAGGATGGAGCTGGGCAGCTCTTCGGGTAACTCGTCTGCCTGTTCGGGTTGAAGCCTCAAACAATCATTCGTGAGTGATCATAGAAACCATAGAAACCATAGAAACTTGGGTTTTAGGCGTCAAAAACAGCGCCTAAAACCAGTACCCAAATATTTGATGTTAGATCATGTAAGTTTACTCACCTATCTTCTATCGGACATCCTGCCTGAACTAGCTCAGTTTGTTGTCCAATTGGCAACAAAGTTCATTCCCATTGCCGGAATCATCGATCCGTTCCTCGGCCATCTGGCAGCAAGTGTAAAAGGTGCCCTGATTGTAGCTAAGGACATAGGAATCCTCCAAACTTTGAAGATCTTTGAAGCAAATCTAGATAAGTGAAATATACAAACTGCCTGAGATTAGATTGATTAGATATCAGGATACCCAAGAAACACATGTTTTCCAAGTTTTCTTCGTCCCAACCCTCTACTTCGCTACCAGGGCGCTGAACAGCTTCCATGCCGGCGACCATCTCGGCCACTTCGGAGCGGAAGCAAAGCAAAGGTGCCTGGGACTTGGAATGGATCCAGGGACAGTTGACCCAGTTGACATCCCTGTTTTTTGCGAAGAAAAACAGGAAACTCATTGAAAGAAAAATTAAAATTTGGAAACTGATGGAAACTGATGGGTGATGGAGAAACTACCTTCAAGAAAGATCAAATGATATGGCTTCTTTCGCAGTTTCACTTTGACCAGTTGTCCGATTCCATATCATTTGTTTTGTCTAAGTCAGTCATGCTGTTCATTCTCAAGATGTACGTGCAGAGCATGCAGATGGGGATCAACAATCTTTCGATAGAACAATTCTCACTTGCTAAAATAATAAAGGACATTTAAGCAGGGCAACGGCCCAAACCCGTACGACAATTTAAAAAAACGCTGGGGAAACCAGCCGGGCCTTTTGTGCCCACGCAAGGTGCCAGTTGGTCAAATGGGCCTGACCTCAGGGAGCCAAATTCCACCAGCTGGGCTCTCCCAGCCAAAAGTCTTGCACAAGTGTCAACAGTGTCAACAGTGTCACCTGAATCTTGAAGGATTGGGTAGTCAAAACGATTGCACAAATGAGAGTTTTTAACTGTTCTCATCCCAATTGCAGCAATTTAGTGAAGCCGAGTGAAGCCACAAGTGCTACAAGTCGAGGTCCCAAAATGTCCCAAGGTCCCAGCGCAAGTCGGGTCGATTGCAAATCACGCACTCCAGGGCATATTCCCAATGCCTCATGCCTCCGCAGCCTTGTGATCTTGCTGAGTTGGATGAAATATGATGAAATAGTGGCTTAGTTCATAACAAACCTATCAACAGGATTCAACAGGTGTATGTTACTGCATTGTGAACGGCTCAACTGGCCTCTGATGTATTCGAAGGATGTGCATTTCTTTCCCTTCACAAGTTGTCCACCGCAACGATGTTCCTTGACCTTCTGGCCTCAGCCAGGAGGGAAGGGAGCAAAGTTTCACTGCCTTTTGGTCAATGAAAACTTTCTGACTTTGGGTTTGTGGAAATACGTGGGATTTCCCTGCAGTTACCCCCAAATGTATGGCCTTTTCTCATGGGGAGATTCCTGAGAAACATTGGGATTTTCCGTTGGGCATAGCCATTTGACTAAGTGGCGGGGACCCAGCTTCTGGTACCTCTGCAGGTCGAGCAGATTCCTTAGCCAAAATGTAGACAGAAAGAGGCCACATCAGCTGGGGATGACCATCGCGCTGCTGGATTCATGGGATTTATGTGGGTTATAAACCCATCCAACTACATATCTGGATAGATTTCATAGTTCACAAACCTGAAGAGTTGGGCCCCAAATGGGGATAGCTACCCTAATCCTGACCACCATTTCCAGTGACGTCGTCGAGTCTAGTGCAAGTGAGGTGCACCCATCCGGGCAACGTGTAGGGGTGATCGCATGTGGTGTCCTCAGCCTGCGCATCAAAAATGTAGTCAGGAATGCAAACGAACACCGCAAGACATTCTGATCCAGATATTCTGTTCTTGGATGTGCCAACCCTCTGCCAGCAATCTTGTTTGGAAATGGAAAATCGCTCCATTTATAGTTGTTTTGATTATATTCATCGGTATTCCGCTCGAAATGGGTTTTGTCGTTGCGATGTTGCATTTAGAATGTGATATGGTTTGAAAATATTGTTTCACCGGGAGAGTACAGTACTTCATGTTTGACCTGCTGTTCGTTCCTGTGTTTTACAAGGTCAGCCAACAATTGGGTTAATACCAATGGGGTGAACCTCAAATCCGCTAAGCTGCTAGCTCTGTTTTGAACCAACGCTATCGGGCAGATCGATGATATATACAATACATGGTTTTACTGCAGGAGTTTTTACACCCCCCTCGGGCGAGCAGGGACGACTGCGGAGAACGAATAACCCAGAAAAGCATACCCTCGCGGGTAGCCGAATTTCTTTAGTTGGTTTTAGACATTTTGTGCAGTCTTTCAAAGGTCCCTCTAAAAAGCTCAAGCCCGTAAAACCCAGCGCAGCGTTGCAAGGAAGGCACATTACCATGCCACATCTTGCGCTATGCTACAAAAGAAAATCATCGTCTCCCTAACGGTTCCAAAAGATCCAACGGCCGCCGGCCTCGTCACGGTAATACCAAGCCCCACGCCAGAAACTCCATTCTCGGCGTGCACCATAGTGATCACGATTCCAACTCCAAGAGGCATCCGGGCGACCGGAGCTTGCAGCCTTCGAAGTGACTCCTGCGGTTGCTGCTTTTGCAGTGGGCGGTGTCTCAGGCTCCAAGAATGGTCGTGCTCCTGCTTTGGATGTTGGTGGTTCGGGTACCAGAAATGGTGCGGCTGGGGCATCAGCGTGCGAGGCATCTGCGCGAGCAGAGCTTGAGGCGGCTGTGACATCTGTTGCGGTTGCGGATGCATCAGCTTCGGCTTTGCGCTTTCGCTCAATGGTGGGCGCGACCGTGGGGTCGGCCTTATGACCTCCAGGACCTCCAGCCTTTGCAGCGGCGCTCTGCTTCTCTTTGCGTTCAAGATTGCTCCGAACCAAGGGAAGGTTTTCCTCATACACCTTTTCGAGGAAATCACGAGTGCCATCAAGAGGGACTTGGACAGTACCCTTCCAGGTCAACAGGCCACGGAATGCGCCACGACGGCCGATGTAGCTGACATATTCATCCTCTGTAAAAATGTGGCGGCCAAACATGAAACCCCAGACCTTCTTCCATGTTTTGCGGAACTCAACTGGGAAGCCATCAACGCCACGAGGCTGAGACATGAAAATCAACTTAGATAAGCAGTTCTCATTTTGGGCATTGGCGGCGACGCCAGCCGAGATCTGAGCTTTGGTCCTTGGGGGATCGGGGAGGTTGCCATATGCGAACATATCGTCAAATATGCAGTCCTGCAGGTCCTTCCCCTCACCGTGGATGCGGTCGCAAAAAGTGACGTCGCTGGAGTATCTATCTTCCACGTCCTCGTAGCCCAGCGCTTTTGCACGTCGATGCCTGTCGCGGCAGTCTTTGAGGACTGCTGATTCCACGGATGTGATTCCCCTGGGGCCCAGTTCTCGGCGTAGCAGGTTGGCTTGCTCTTCCGTCAAGGCTGTCAGCAAGCTTCCGCTCATCTTCCCAAACATTCCGAACCCGGCGAGACTTTGCATTCGCCGTTCAAGGATGCGGGTCCTCCTGTTGGGTTTGTTGGCCTCTTTTGTATCGCCACTTTCGTCCACTGGGAGTGGCTCAAAACCACATGTGGTGCATGTCACTTGGCCACTGACGTACTCAACCTGGCAGAGGGGACAGGAGCCCATGAAAGGTTCGCAGTACTTGGGTGCAATGTAAACACGGCGCGTCCTTGCGGGCGGCTGGTCAACTTGCATTGAGGCAGTGGCTTCATCATCATCAGTGGACTTGGCATCGGGTCGCCCCGTGCTGGTGTCATCCATTGGGTCGTCATTTGCATCATCTCGGGCAGTCAAGGTGACCGCTTTGGCTTTCGGTGCTGAGGCAGATGCCGCGCCAGTCCATGTGCTGGGCTCGAGATTGCTCTCGGCGCGGGACCAAAGCACCTGTCCTTCTTCTGAGATGCTGACCAGAAACTGCGGTGGGATGCGTTCTGAGCACAAAATCCCATCCATTTCTGTGCGACTAAAGATGACACCAGCTTCAACTGCTTGCCGCATTGCGATTTTGACTTCGATTGGACATTTTGCTCTTAATCCAGATCGATACCCCTGCGTGCCAATACAGTGTTCTGCCATGTAGATATGGGCACGGCCACTGTTGACTGTTGCACCGCCGCCTGGGATCAGGCCGTTCTGTGCGATGCTCTTCCAGCTGCTTTTCATCGTGCGATGGAAGACAACCTCAGGAACCTCAGTCATGGCACACAGGGGCACGCCAGTGAAGGCGGCTTTTCGCTCGGGGGATACATGGTCTGAGCAATACACCATGGTTGAATTGGCATAAAGACCCCCTGCGGTTTTCAAGGCAGCTTCGGAGTGACCCTGAATTGCACGGATTTTCACAGGATAATACGGCATGCCTAGGCCATTGTCGACAGGAAAATGGGAGATCTTTGCACACAAGAATTGGAACCTACTCTTGCCATGCTTGTCGATCTTCATTGCGGTGCCAAACAGGTTTGCGACAGTGATGAAAACATCTGGGGGCACTTCCTTGCGGAAGGCTTTGGCGAAATCCTCCAAGTCAATCCAAAGGTCTTTGTCCATTGGCACCTTGGCACAGGATCCATGCCCCCTGCAAACTTTGTTGACACGAGTTGCAAAATCAGAAAACTTCTTGTCGACGCGAGTCTGGCTGGCAATGGTCTCAACGTCGGATGCCGATATCAGCTCCAGCTCATAAGCCGTACCTTCAAAGAGGATGCCGGGCACATCGTCCCCGTCTGCATTGGTCACCATTGTATATTGGTATTCAGGCAAATGCTCTTCCATCCAATATGCTTTCACGTGGCCAGATGCTTGTCCCTCGAAGCGCGCAGTTGCCTGCGGCTGGTACTGGCTGGATGTGGCTCCCTTGTCATCTGCGGGCTCATCCATTGATGCTGGTGCTGCTTTCGGCCGCGACTTCAACATGACCTCAGCTGTCTGGACCAGGATTGTTGCTCTGCTGGATGCAGCGGGCTCGCCGTCGCCGGCGGCCTTTGGAGGGTCATCTTTGGGAGGCTCAGCAAACGTGCCCGAAGGCATCGTCTTGATGTCGATGTAGTCCTCAGTGTCAGGTTGTTGAGCTTCGACGTCCTCCTTGGTGAATGACCTGCCCGTCGGCACGATGTGTCTTCGGGACTCTCCAAAAAGCAACTTGGTGATGTTTGCACATGTCTCCTGATAGGACCTTGGCAGCTCGTCCAGGACGGCGCTCATGTTCCTCCGCAAATCATCCCATGTCTCCTGGGCACACTCAGAAAGCTCCAAACCAATTTGGCCGACCCGCCATCCGGAATCAAGTGCAAAAAGGGTAGCTGTCCAATAGGCAGCAAGGCGCGTGCGATTTTCTTCAGAGTTGGCGAAATGCCACTGGTCTCTGAATTCCATTGCATCGGCGTACCCCTTTGCTTTTAGCCACGGATACCGCGGATTGGCACGCCCTTGCAGGCTGCTGGTTAGAGCTTTGAATCGGGGCTCCAAATGGTCGAAAAATTGATCGAAGATTGGATGAATGCCGTAATCTGCGCTCCAGGGCGCGGTCGTGAGACCGGCCGTCTGCAAGTCCAACTCCCGGGCCTTGTTGATGAACCATGTCAAGTGGCGCTCACAATCATCCAGGATCGTGGGCCAGTGCCCGTTGGGACCATCGTACGGCCAATTTGGATTTTGGGCAATTCCATCCTCCCCTACCAATTCATTTCCGAACCAGGACAAGTGCAGGTTGATGCGTGCATGAGGATAGCGCTCGCGGGCGTCCGCGGCCAATTCGATCCCTCTCTTTACCAACTTCTGCAAAGTTTTGCCCCAAAGCATCTCGTGGATGAACTCAGTCACGTACTTGGGTTTGCGCTGTCGGTAGTGCTCGGAAAGATCAAACTTCTTAAGTGTCTTCCTACGCCCTGTGATCAATGCACATGACGAGTCAGAGACTAAGATCCAGATTACGTCATTGACGGGCATCTCTGGCAGCATGATCTTTTCGATGTGGGACTCCTTTGGCAAAAAGCAGAAACTAAGGTATTCTGCAAGCGGATCCTCTCGACCATAGAACCTCAGGGCCGAAGCCGGCGTCCATTCGGTCATCAAACCATCCACAAGGTCCTGAGCAGCCTGATTCTCACCTTCATTGCGCATGGCCAATGCATACAAAATGCGATTGTGAAGGAGCAACCATGCTTCTTTGTTAGCCTCACGTGTGGCTTCGAGCGCAGCCTCGCGGCTGGCCGGGTGTGCTGTGGCATATCGTGAGTCAGCCATTTTTGCAGGACAGGCACGAATGACAACGGGTGAAATCCTTTTGGATGTTTGGCCCACCACAGCTACCCGGAAACACTCATGGAGCATGTCAGTCAACTTGAAGGTATAGTTCTCAGCAAGTTTAAGAGCTTTGCCCCTACTTTGATCATGCTCATGTTTGCCATCACATTTGAATGAGTCTAACACGGTGAGTTCTTTAAAATTTCCTGCAATAGTCCAACTTTTCTTCATTGGTTGACCGTTGTTTCCAAGAACACCCAACATACAACCATCAAAGTGATGAGTAGTCATGGATCGTTCTTTGAGGAATCTTCTAACCATCGGCCATCTCCAATATTTGCAGTTCTTGGACAGTTCAAATGCTATCAAGGTTCGTTCATCATAAACTTCATCCACAAGTTTGACAAAAGATTTGAACAGCTTGGTAAACTGTTTTTGTTGCTCTTTGATTCTTTCCTGACCCTCAACAGTAAGGCCATTCACGTTCCCCCATGGGCTACCTCCTACACAAGGCAACGATGCAT